GGGCACCACTCGTGAGAGAACCCCACTCACACCACCGCGCTGACGGCTAGTCCGGCCTCCCCAGCTGCATCAGGCGTAGGATCCCCTGCGTTGTTTAGTCTTGGCTCCTCCCTCGCCACTCCGACCCCGGCCGCCACTCCTTTACCCTGGACTCTGGCGCTTCCCAGGGTTTCTTTCACGACTCCACTATGCTGACGCCGCTTGCCGCTCCCGCCGCAGTTTCCCTTGCCGACCCCTCATCAGGTCCGGTAGTCGCCCGTAGCTCCACCACCCTTCCCTGTCCGGCGGTTCCTTCGGGCTCTCTTACAGGCCTGCATATCCCCTTGCTCTATAGGAACCTAGTTGGTGTAAGCTGCCTCCAAGACCTTGGCGTCACCACTACGTGTCCTGGTTACGAGCGGTACGCTATCTGTACCGAGACCGCCACTGGCGCTCCCCTCACCACGTTCCTTCGGAACCTGGTGTCTGGCCTGTTCACGCTGAACACCCCCCCCCCCCCCCCGTTGGGACGTCTCCCCAGGTGGCTGCGTCTGCCCAGATTGCTGCGGCCTGCTCGTGTCGGTCGCTTACTCACCCGACACTTCTGTAGCACCACCATCTAGGTCAACCCGCGCTCCCGCGTCTGCGTCATATGTCTCAGCATGGTCTTGTCTTAGGTCTCCCAGGGTCGTTCCCTGAGTTGCCCTCCTCCCCAGCACCGCCGTGCATGCCCTGCGTCGAGGGCCGGCTCTGCCGTACCCCTCACTCCTCCTCGTTCCCCCCCACCGCCGCACCGCTACAGACCCTGCACATGGACGTCTGGGGCCTCGCCCTCGTCCATGGGTCGCGTCGAGAGCGCTACATCCTCGTGCTTGTCGACGACTACATAAGCTACACCACGGTTTTTCCCCTGGAGCGCAAGGCCGACGTGCCTAACGCTCTTATCCCGTGGATGGTCTCTGCACGTGTACACTGCCGTCTCCTTGTCTTGCGTCTTCACTCCGACCGTGGTGGCGACTTTGCCTCTGGCGTCCTTGGTCGTTTCTGTCGTGCGGAGGGCATCACCCAGACGTTCACCCTGCCGAACTCTCCGCAACAGAATGGGGTCGCTAAGCGATGCATCAGTTTGGTCATGGAGGTGGCTCGTACCTCCATGATCCATTCTGGTGCACCCCAATTTCTCTGGCCGTTCGCCGTTCGCTACGCTGCTCACTAGCTTAACCTATGGCCGCACCCCCAGCAGCCGAAGGTTTCGCCGACCCTTCTTTGGACCGGGTCCCCTGGTAACGCCTCTGCGTTCCACGTCTGGGGCTGCCTTGCTCACGCTCGTGCCTCTGGCACGGACAAGCTCACTGCCTGCACCGTCCCCTGTGTCTTCCTCGGTTTCCCCCTCGAATCGTCTGACTGGCACTTCTACCACCCGCCGTCTCACCGTTTCTTTCACTCGCGCGATGTCACCTTTGACGAGTCCGTCTCCTTCTACCACCGCTTTCCCCACCGTGGTCCCCCGGTTACTCCCCACCTGTTCCTGGTTCCCCCTTCCCGGTCGCCCCTGCTCCTCTCCCTCCGTGCCCTGTCCCGTCTGGTGTGTCTCACGTCACCCCCCTCCCGTCGGTTGTCCCGGTCGAGGTGTCTGCTGACTCTACTGGCCCTACGGCGAAGTCCTTGCTGCTTGCCCCTCCCCCGGTGTCTCCTCTTCCGTCGTCGCAGCCGCCGCAGCCGTCGTCACAGCCGCAGTCGTCACAACCGTCATTGCAGCAGCAGTTCTTCGACCCTGGGGGTGCTGGTGTTGAGGAGGGTGGTCGTCCTGGGGTTTCTGTCGTGGCTTGTCCCAACAGGCCTAGGGGTGGTACTGGTGCTGGAGAGGTTCCTGGCTCTGGGGGTGCTGGAGTGGAGTGTTCCGGGGTTGGGCATAGAGCAGCTGGCGGTCCCGGTCTTGCCGTTATGCCGCCGCAGAAGCAGTCGCCACCAGTGTCAGCCCTGCGCCTGCTCGGCCTTCTGTCCCCTGACCGCGCGCCTGTGCATCCTCCACCGTGTGATCCCCTTCTTGTCTACAGCCCCGTGTTCCCTCATCCGGACTCGTCTCCGGCTCGTCTTCCTCCGCGTTCTCCTCCTGTGTCTCCTCCTCTGTCTCCTGACCCGACACCTCCGTCTCACGTCTGGTCCCGCCGTCCCTCTTGTGCTCGTCCTGTTTCTCCTGTTCTGCGCTCTCACCCTATGTTGCTCCGTTCCCACGCGTCTCGTCCTCCCCTCCTGCCGTCGCCTCCTCCGTCCTCCCTTGTTGTCGCGCCACCCCCTCGCTCGGACTACCTTTGTATAGCTTGTCCTCTCGTTCCTCGGGTCCTTGCCTCTCTCGTTACTGACCTGTCTGTTCCTGTTTCGCGTCTTGACGCTCTTGTCGCAGTGGTCGCTGACTTCGCCTCTACCCGCCGCCTTGACTACGCCACTGCTCTGGTCTCTGACCCTGCTCGTCCTCCGTCCATTGGGGGTGCTCGTGCCCTCGGCACTGACGTCCTGGAGGACTGGCAGAACGAGCTTGCTTTCCTGTCCGAGGTTGCTCCCCATCTCTGTTCCATGCTGCTAGTCCGTGAAGGTGACCCAGACGATTTCGAAATCCCGATCCCTCGCACCTACACTAAGGCGATCTCGGGACCCTGGGCCTCTCAGTGGATAGCTGCTATGGAGCAGAAGATGGCATCTTGGAGATCCACCGGCACCTACGTCGACGCAGTTCCCCCACCTGGGGTGAACGTAGTCGATGGCCGGTGGCTCTTCAAGGTGAAGCGCCCCCTTGGAGAGCCGCCTATGTTCAAGGCGCGCTACGTGGCTAGAGGCTTCACTCAGCGTGAGGGGGTGGACTTCTTTCAGACCTTCGCTCCAATCCCGAAGATGACTACTCTTCGGGCGCTGCTACAAATAGCAGCACAGCGTGACTACGAGTTACACTCCCTCGACTTCCCCACTGCGTTTCTTCAGGGCAGCCTACACGAGCAGGTCTACCTGTACCGCCCTCAGAGCTTCATTGGTACCTTCCCTCCTGGAACCCAATGGCTACTGTGGCGCCCAGTCTACGGCTTGCGACAGGTGTCCCGTGAGTGGCACAACACACTGCGTGCTGCCCTTGCTGACCTGCAGTTCTTTCCGTCCTCTGCGGACCCCTCGCTCTTCGTTCGTGCTGGCCGGATCCCGTTCTACATCCTTGTTTACGTAGACGACCTGGTCTTCGCCACTGCAGACAGGGACACACTGGTCTCCGTGAAGGCAAAGCTGCTGAAGAGACACACCTGCATTGACCAAGGAGAACTGCGCCACTACATTGGCCTCCAGATCTCCAGGGAAAGAGCAGCGCGCAGCATTACACTCACCTAGTCACACTTGGTGAGCCATGTCCTTCAGAGGTTCGGTCTTCAGTTCTCCTCCGCACAACCCACACCTGTATCAGTAGATCACAGGCTCTCAGCTCTAGTTCCTGAGGAGTCAGTAAAGCCCAGTGGTCCTTACGCAGAGCTGGTGGGTTGCCTCATGTACCTGATGACTTGCACTCGCCCAGATCTCGCATACCCTCTTAGCATCCTGGCTCGCTTTGTGGCCACAGGCAGACACCGACCACAGCACTGGTCGGCCGCTAAGAGGGTTTTGCGTTATCTAGCAAGTACATCGGGCATGTGGTTAGTGCTAGGAGGACGCAGGCCAGTGGTCCTTACTGGGCACACAGACGCTTCTTGGGCAGACGATGCTGAGACCCTCAGGTCATCTCAGGGCTACTTTTTTAGCCTTGGCTCGGGTGCTATCTCTTGGAGATCCACTCGCTCGTCGTCTGTTGCTCAGTCCAGCTGTGAGGCTGAGATCTACGCCGGTGCCATGGCGGCACAGGAGCTCCGCTGGCTGACCTTCTTGCTCACTGACTTAGGTGAGCGGCCTAGCTCTGCCCCGGTCCTGTTCGCTGACAACTGGGCCATGATCCTCCTGTATCAGGAGCCCCGACTTGAGGGCAGAGCGAAGCACATCCAGCTGCGGTACTTCCTCCTGCGCGAGCTACAGCAACGTCGCCAGGCTCGCGTAGTACACTTGGCTTCCGGTGCCAACACAGCTGATATGTTTACGAAGGCGCTTGCGCCTAAAGATCATCAGCGGCACTGTGTACAGCTAGGTCTCGTTCCTATAGCCTCTTAGTTGCTAGGGCCTTGATTAAGTATAGACCTTTATATATATTTTACCCATAATGGCCTTGTGGCCTCTTCCAGTGGCTGGACTAGTAGTGCCGCCCTGGTCTTGCTCTTGCCTTGGTTTGCACTTGTTTGGCTGGTCTTTAGACCCTTGCCTTAGAGGTTGGACTAGTAGTGCCACCATGAGCTGCTTGTCTGTCAACAGACACTGCCCCTATCCAGTCTAGGGGGTTTGTCAAACACATTTGTGTGTGACGTTGTAGACCATATAGGGTTGTGCCTTAGAGAGTACAGCCCCCGAGGTCATAATGCTTTATACTCTCATATTCTAGTAATTCTTTCAGTTTGTTAGTACAAGTATGATTGCCCCATATGAAATGAAGCACGCTGCCTTTCAAGAGGACTTAAGCAAGCTTTGACAATTATACAAATTTTCAGGCCCTAAGAAACGGACCTTGAAATATAGCTTTTCAGGCCTTTTTGGCCAGCCTTCCACATATAATAGAGAACACTTGCATAGAGGGGAGGGTAATGGTGTGGAGGATAGGGAGCATCTAGCTGTGACCTCAAGTGGGTTCCTTTTAGCGAGATTGCTCAAAGCGGTGCAGCACAAGGAGCCTGACGGCATCTGACACAGCTCCCGCGGCAAGACGTTCGTTTGAAGCACAGCCACACCATACAGCCAACCAAAACGCTCCAGCCTCGACATTGTCGAACAGGGAAGTTCCGTCAACGTGTTGTCGTTGTCAGCCTCCCGTTCCGTCGACAACTACTGTAGGGGCATTCAAGTCAACACAAGCGGGGTGTCACAGATTCCATAAGTGTGTGCTGGTCTCTGGCTTTTCTTTCCCTCGCCTGCTGCTCACACCCCAGCCTCTCACTACAGTACCATAATCATCAGCAAAGCAGTGCTCTGGTCTGGTTGTTTTGCTGATGAGGGATGAACAGCGGATCCTCAGCACCACTTACCGACGCATATGCTCCACCGACAACCTTAGGAATAAATTTAGGGGAGAAGAAATAGTGGGTTCAGGATCCAGGCTTTTGTATCTGACTGATACATAGACTCCTTAGGTCGATCCTCTGAACTTCAGCCCGTAGACACGCGCGACTTTATTAATCTTCTGCCGATCTGCTAGATGTTTCGTCGAATGTGACTCCTTATCGCGGTGTACTTACGTCGTCGGGATGCATTCAGGCAGTGGACCTTTGTCGTGTACAATACGTTCATTACGAAGCAATTCGCAGCTGGATCGCCGTAGGCAGCTCGTGACCGTTCATTCCTGACGGACTCAGGCGACTAGAATTTTCACAGTATGATTCCGACTTCCAAGACCCTCAAGGGTATGGGTCAGCCTCGCGTGGCTGATAGCTATAAGAGGGGTTTCTCGGACCGTGATATAGAGCAGGTCAGTGTAAGGGATTTTCAGGATAAGCTTTGCGCGTTTTCCACTCTGCCAGCACACTGCCAGCCATTAGGGTTTCCTTGTAAACTTCTTACCCGGGCATCGACGACCCGTGTGCAGGCGGTTATCGCTATGAAGAAAGGGACGCGACTCCTGAAGTATGGCCGATTGGGACGCCCGCGAGCCTGCTATTTCCGTTTGTCTGCCGTACGTCCATCGCTTTCACTGCCGGCATTGATCGTTCTTCGTTACCGGCTCATCGGATTCGCACATTCTGCTGTTCAGCGTGGTGCCCATGATTCTGCTATTTAGGACAAAGCTCCTTCGTCGAGACTGCGAAATGTTGTCCTGAACTGGTTATGCAGGGGGGCTTTTAAATACCCTATACTTTAAAGGCGTGATCGCGGGTTGAAGCGATCTGCAGTGTCCCGCGGAATGCCTTTTGAGTCGACTCAAAAGTCATCTGCAGTGTCCCGCGGAATGCCCGGAATATCACTGCGATTCCGCGGCTTATCGTAATGGTGTCCCCCCTTCGCCCCCTGCAGGACGAGGCTGAGCTCGTGTACCTCTCAGGCGACAGAGAAAAGTCGCTCCCTCTCTCCGCTGTCAGCACGATCGCGTGGGGCCAGAAGACTGTAAGTCGCTCTCCAGCGTCGTCTAAAAGTCTAGGGTAACCCTCCTTTGCGAGTGTATCTGTTGAACCGGTCTTTGCTTTCCGCGTAACCCTTCCAGCGGCTCTTGCTTGCGTGTACCTGTGACGCCACGTCAGGCCATATTTCACCGGCATCTGAGGCCCGACAAGGAGAACCAATCCTTCTCCATCATCTTCTGCAACGGCGACAGGACCATCGACGTCGTACGTCTCACTCCCTTGCCCGAATTCTAAGATTCCAGCGCAACCCACCTTTTTTTATGTGCCTGCATGCGTGATTTCACCCGTGCCCTTGGTCCATAGTCCCAGCTCTCAACCTCCTGTCGTCCTCGGGCTGCAGATCTGCAAGGACACGGACGAGGCGGAGATGTGGTTCGTGGGGCTGGGGACGCTGGTGGAGAAGCAGCGCAGGACGCAGTCAGAGCGGCTGGGCAGGCAGGCGGCGGCAGACAGGCTCACGCCCGACTGGTCGCCCAACTCCTCGCCCTTCCCCTCTGTTGACCGTAAGGTAAGTCATGGTCGGACGAGACCTATGCTGCTCCCTTATGTTTCAGAGTTCTACCCATCCCCCATCTTCGCTCCCCATTTCGCCGCCCCGCTGTTCCTCCTGCTGAGGCCCATGCGCGAGTGGATTGCCCTTCTCCGAAGCTCCTCAGCAGCCATGCCTTTTCCCGTCCCTCTCGTTCACTCAGCCCCCCGCACTCGGCTCCGTGACTGCCAGTCCCCCAGAGACAGGCTCAGCCTCATGCCAGCGTACAATTCCGCTCAGGACGTCTCTCTCCTCTCCCATCCCATGCGTCCACTCCGCCCTCCACTCAGCCCCCCGCAGGCGGCTCCGTGACAGCCAGTCCCCCAGACAGGCTGAGCCCCGACATGAGCCTCATGCCGGCGTCCAAGTCGGCGCAGGACATCTCCTCGTACCCGGCAGCAGACGACCGCTCCAGCGACGGCGACGACGCCTCAGACACAGCCTCCCTCAGCGGCTTCTCCATGCACTCCGTGCCTCACGGGTCCAACGCCGCCGCCCTGTCTCTTCTGGGGCTTAATAGTGGCGGCGGGGGTGGTGGGGGTGGCGGGGGTGGTGGCGGTGGTGTGGGGGGTGGTGGTGCCAGCGGCAATATCACTTTTGCGGTGGCAGCTGGGCCTGGAACAGGTGCTGTGCCCTCCACCACCTCCTCGTCTTCCTCCTGGTGGGACAAGTCCTCCAGCTCCACTAGAACGGACTCCGCAGCTGTATCCCAGGGTAAACCACCCTCCGGAATCTGGAGCGATGCTGCTGTGACCAGTTACCCCAGCGTCACCAGCAGCAACGTGGACGAGGCGGTGGGGGAAGCTCTAGGGGACCTGTTCATGTGGGGGGAAGGGCTGGGGGAAGGGGCGCTAGGCGGAGGGAGTCTGAGGAAGAAGGGCGGGCAGAGGATGGGGCTAGGGCCGGACTACGACTGTGCTGCGCCCAAGGCGCTGGAGTCGGGGGTGGTGCTGGATATCTGCAGTGTGGCGTGCGGCGAGGAGCACGCGGCGCTGGTGACGCGGCAGGGGGAGGTGCTGTGCTGGGGGGAGGAGGCGGGGGGGCGGCTGGGGCAGGGCGTGCAGGGGGACGTGGAGCACCCGCAGCTTGTAGAAGCCCTTGGGGGGTTGCGGGTGGACCAGGTGAGGCGTGGCCTGAGACGGCTGACAGACTTCTGTGAGATTGCGATTGAGAGATATGAAGGGTTGAGCGCTGGGGGTGATTGTGGAAGCACATGGCGGTGACTCCCAGGAAACATGCTCACGGTGGGACACCGTTTCGCGCGACTTACTGGATGTGTCTGTCCCTCTGCTCCCCCCCATGGCAGGTGGCGTGTGGCAACCACTTCACGTGCGCCCTCAAGCGCGCGGGCGGCGCGTACATATCGGGGGACGGGCGCAGGTGCCAAGGGCTGCTGGGCTCAGGCGGGTACGGGGACATGCCGCAGTGGGTACCCTTGACTTACCAAACGTGTCTGTCTTCCCACCCCCCCCCACCCACACCCCACCCCCCCACTGGCAGGTCGCGTGTGGCAACCACTTCACGTGTGCGCTGACACGCTCTGGCGACGTGTACATATGGGGGGACGGGCGCAGGTGCCAGGGGCTGCTAGGTTCCGGCGGGTACGGGGACATGCCGCAGTGGGTGCCGCGCAGGCTGGGCGGCCCTCTGGACGGGTTGCATGTGGTGCAGGTGGCGTGTGGCCCGTGGCACGTGGCCGTGGTGGCGGGGTCAGGGGAGCTGTTCACATTTGGGGATGGCACGTTTGGAGCTCTAGGGCACGGCAACTGCGAGTGAGTTTGGATGGATCTGGCGTGCGCTTGACAGACATGTGACCCGCCCCCCCTCTCCCCCTCCCGTCTCCCTCCCCCCCATGCGTATCGTCTCGTTCCACACACGGCCCCCACCGGCTTTCATGCGTTTCAGTGAGCAAGCTGACAATGCCTGATCTAGTTTCCCCCTTTTAACCTAATTGGCCTCACCGCAGGATTGTCCTGGTACCCAGGCAAGTGCAGGTGTTGCAGGGCTGCAGAACCCTGAAGGTAGCGTGTGGGGTGTGGCACACAGCAGAAGTAGTGAACACATGCGTATCTCACTTACCAAACCCTTACTCCCTACCTCCTCTCCCCTCCCCCCCGCCTTACCTCTCCCACAGAATTGTCCCGGTACCGAGGCAAGTGCAGGCGCTGCAGGGCTACAGAACCCTCAGAGTAGCGTGTGGGGTGTGGCACACAGCAGCAGTAGTGGACACAGGCCAACCTGCCGATGCTGGTGGTGGTGCCAGTGGTGGTGGTAGCGGTGGTGGCGGCAGCATGGGGGGGTGCGGGCAGGTGTATACATGGGGTGATGGTGACGCGTACAAGCTGGGCCACGGAGATAAGCAGCAGCAGCTGGTGCCGCTTCTGGTGAACGCCCTGCGCCAGGAGGGCTGCTGCCAGGTGCGGGCACTGCTTCTCATGCCATGTATCAGTGCCTGGAATGCCCTCACGAGGTGACTTTTGAGTCGACTCAAAAGGCTTCTCATGCCATGTATCAGTGCCTGGAATGCCCTCACTTCACCATGAGCCAGCTAGCATAACAGGCTATTCCGCGGCTTCCTAAGCTTCCTAATTCTTTCCTGTCCCTCTGCTTCTGTGCTGCGTGAATGACGTGACGCCTTCTCTGCCTTACTTGGACTTGCTCCTCCCCCTCAGGTCGCATGTGGCGAGAGCCTGACAGTGGCAGTGACGGCAACAGGCCAGGTGTATGCATGGGGCAGTGCCGAGCATGGGCAGTTAGGCAACCCTCAAGCTGATGGCAAACTGCCAGGTAGGGCCTTGTGTCCGTGTGGATGCATGTATGTTCGTCCGTGAGGTGTGCTTGTATCCATGTGCATGCATTGCGTTTGTTCTCCTCTATGTGCATGTATGTGCAGGCATGAGTAGGTCTCGCCCACTTTCTGCTCCATGTGTGCCTCTTTCTCTCCCCATCAAAACCCTTCGTCTTTCCAATTCGAGTGTCCGGGCCTCCCATGCTAAGGCATGTGGAGCAGGTGCCATGTGGCACACACCACGTGGCTGCAATGACATCCACATCCGGCCTTATGAGTGTACTGTTTCTCACCTTTCCTGCTGCATATGCCCCTCTCCCCTCCCCCCTATCAACCCCACTTGTCCCTTTAGTGCGAGTGGGCGGCGCTCTGATGCTGAAGCATGTGGAGCAGGTGGCGTGTGGCAGCACGCACTACAAGGCATAAGTGAAATCCACATCCGACCTCACCCCATTCATGCTCCACGAGTGCCTCCCCTCTCCCCCGTCCCCTTCCAGCGCGAGTTGGCGGCCCTCTGATGCTGAAGCATGTGGAGCAGGTGGCGTGTGGCACGCACCACGTGGCAGTTCTCACATCCACGTCCGACCTCTTCACATGGGGCAGGGGCGCCAGCGGCCGCCTGGGCCACGGGGATGTGAAGGACAGAGACGTGCCCACCCCTGTCGCTGCGCTCAAAGACCGCCGCGTCTTGCTGGTGAGCTTTACACTAGCTGGGATGTGCCTTTGCATCTCACTCTGTCTTCCATAGTCCCTCTGTCCTCTCCAGCCTTGAGACCTTCATTTGGACAAGGCTCGTTCACCCCCGGCCCTGCTTTTTTCAACATTCTCTCCTCCCCCGTCCACCAGGTCTAGTGTGGAGCAGTGAGCGCAGCAGTGGTGTGTCAGGACTCGGGACAAGCCGTTTTCAGGCAACTACCAGTGCATGCAGTGCCGCCAGCCCTTCACTGTCTTCCCAATCAGTCTCTTCCCCCCCCCCTCCCCCTCCCCCTGCCCCTGCCCTTCACACACACCAGGTGTCCTGTGGAGCAGCCAGCACAGCCGTGGTGTGTCAGCACAAGCCGTTCTCTGGAGCCGACAACTACCAGTGCATGCAGTGCCGCCAGCCCTTCACCTTTGCCCGGCCCCGCCACAACTGCTACAACTGCGGGCAGCCCGTGTGCCATGGCTGCAGCAGCCGCAAACTACTAGGCGCTGCCATGGCGCCCTCCTCCTCTCGCCCCTACCGCGTGTGTGACTCGTGCCACGCCAAGATGACTAAGGCTGCTGCTGCTGCTGGGGCTGCCGCTGCAGCGGCTACTGGGCTGGTGCATGGGGTTATGGGTGGTGTGGGTGGGATGGGAGGAGGGGGTTCTGGTGGCGTGGCGGGAGGGGGATTTGGTTCTGGGGCGGTTGCAGCAGCGGCGGGATTAGGGGCGGGTGCAGGGGCAGGGGGGGCTTCATCTAGTGCAGGTCAGACTGCTGGCTTCGTTAGGGCTAGTGCTGGAGGAGGCATGGTAGGAGGGGCGGGGATGGGTGGAGGAGGAGCAGGAGGGGGAGCGGGAGTAGGAGGAGGAGTGGGAGCAGGGGGTATGCCACCTGTCAGCGTTTCGATGAGCTGGCGGTCCCGGAGCAAGTCCATGTGGCAGAGATCGCGCACATCCAATGATGTTGAGAAGCTAGACTCGTCACAGGCTGACGTGGCAGCTGCAATTTCCTCAGGAGCATCATCAGCATCATCATCATCATCAGCAGCAGCAGCAGCAGCAGCAGGGAGGGTTTCAGGGGGGCCGGCGACCTATGCTCCCTCTGTCTCTGCCTCCATAGATGGTCTCCCTAACTTCCGCAGCACTCGCACCGAAACCCTTCCCGCCCTCTGGAGCTCCATAGCTGTCCCCACCTCCTTCGCCTCATACCTCTCCCAACAGCCACGCATGCAGACACTGCAGGGACCCTCCCCTCCCCCACACTCCCGCGCCCTCCCCCCTTCCTCTAGTTCTGTCACTGCCTCCCTCCCCTCTCTCCCTGCTGCTACTCATGCCCACTCTGCCTCTCCTCCTCTCTGCACCAACGCCTCCCCTCCCGCCAAACCCGACGACTCCCACCTCCGAACCAGCCGATCGCTCCGAGGCTCGGCCGCAGGCTCGGGGAAGAGGTCAACCAGCCCTATGCTGCGACGGTCGATGGGGGGAAGCCCGCTCCGCCGAGCCTCCAGCCCCACCGCGGCTCAGATAGCTTCGGCGGCCGCGGCTGCTATGGCGGCAGCGATGGCTGGGCGGGTCCCCGGCCCCTCTGCTGCATCCCTTGCAGCAGCAGCGGCAGCAGCAGGGCAGGCGGGGGCGGGCGGCATTGGAGGGGTGGGGGGGATGGGGGCTGTGGGGGGCTTGGGCGGCGTTGTGGCTCTGCCTGGGGGGGGAGGGGCGAGAGGTAGCTTGGTGGCTGGGAGGGTGGGGGGAGTGGGAGTTGGAGTTGGAGGGGTAGGGGCAGGAGCGGGTGGGGTGGAAGGAGAAGGAGGAGGGTCTGCTGGGGCACATGCGCTGGAAGAGAGTGAGTGTTTTCCTGCACGGTATCTTTCCTTCCGGTTTTCGTTCAGAGTCCATTGCCGCTCTCCTTTTGCTCTCTTTGTCACGAGTCCGTTCTCCAACGCTGTTATCCTCTTCTTCCCTCACTTGGGCTGCTGTATGCAGCATCAGAGGCGGAGAGGGACACAGCCATGGCGGGGATGAGGCATGCCAAGCAGAATGCAGAGCGGGAGGCGTACCGCCTGCAGGATGAGGTGAGGGCTGCCCCCCATGCATGGACGTGAGGTGAGGTGCACCAATCATGTGTACATGGCATGGCGTGATGGTATGTATGTATGCCCCCGCATTGCCGCCATGTGTGAAGCACTGTCAGCTGCTGGAACATAACAGCAGGACAAGCCTGAATAGAAGCCTTGGGGCCTGCATCCCATATCCAACTTGTCTGCTTTGCCCCCAAACTATCTGTCCCATGCCCTCGTTAGGTCGAGGTGCTGCGGCAGCACTGCCAGCCGCTGGAGCAGGAACGCAGGGCAGCACTGGAGCTGGCAAGTGAATCGAAACGTACCTGCGTTGTATGTCTGGCATGTCCCTTTCCCCTCATCAGGTCGAGGTGTTGCGGCAGCACTGCCAGTTGTTGGAGCAGGAGCGCAGGGCAACGCTGGAGCTGGCCCAGCGGCAGGTGGAGGCCGCCGTTGCTGCTGCCAGTGAAGCAGGGGCGCGGGCGGCAGGCGCGCACGACATCATCCAAGTGCTGTGCGCACAGATGCAGGAGCTCTTGCACCATATGCCGTCTCTGCCCACCAGGCAAGCCAGCCTCGCCATCAGAGCGGTAGACAACTCTGTGCTCTACTCTGGGCCCCTCCTCCTCTGTTCCTCCTCCGCGCTCCCCCCTTCCCTGGTTGAGCTCCCGCCACAACCCATCTCTGCTTCTAGTGGTGCCGCTCTTGCTGCTGCAGCTGCTCCAGCTGCTTCTGTGGAAAATGGTGAGGCAGGTGGCATAGGGGGGGCAGGAGAAGCAGCAGGAGCGACAGCAGGGCCGGCAACTGCAGCAGCAGCAAGTGCTGCATCTCAGGCAGCAGTAACAGAAAGCAACAGATCAAGAAGCAGTTATGCTGGTAGCACTCCTCCACCCAGGAACTTCCATGTGTCTTCCTCTCTGGGTAGCCTCAACAGAGTGGATGCTGGTGGGAAGGCGGGCAGTGGGCTTGTACTTGACTTACCAAAGCAGGAGCACCATTGGGAGGCGAACGCAGGAGTAGAAGAGTTGGTTCCAGAGGGCCAGAACGATGGATCAGGGCAGCAGGAGCAAGGGGGGGGAGGAGGGATGGGGGAAGGAGGCAGGTGGGAGGGTAGGGGAGGCGTGCCTTGGACGCCTACAGGGGGCTCCTCGAATACCATCTCGCCGCGGTCCAGATGGATTGGTGGTGGGAGAGCGACAGAAGGAGCAGCGGCAGGAAGGAGAGAGGGAGGAGGGAGAGAGGCAGGGTCGTTTGATGGCTTGGCAGGGGGGGACGTGGTTAGGGGAAGCTCCAGTTTGGATGCGCGTCAAAGCGTGGGAGGGGTTGATTTGGTGAGGGGAAGCTCAGGTGCACAGCTTGATCGGTTTGGCTTGAGGGAGTCACAGGGGGGGCATATTGGCGGTAGGGTTGGAGGGGCAAATGGTGAGACGCAGGAGCGCAGAACACTGCCCTTGTTTGAGCCGCCGCCACAGAGCTCAGCAGGCGAGGGGCAGGAGGGCAGAATGGTGCCCTCGCTTGTGCGCCTTCACGAGTCATTGACCCATCTGCGGCAGCGCGAGGAGACTCCTGAGCGCCTCTCTGCGGCTCCTCCCCATCCAGCCGTGTCTCATGTGCCCGGGCCGTGCAGCAGGAGGAGTTTGCCAGCCATCCCCGGAATGAGCAGCAGAGGCAGCCTGGTTGGATCGAAACAAAATTTGCGCGCAGAGATGAATGGTCGGATCAGTGGGGGAGGGGGTGAGAGTCTCCGAAGCGGATATGGGCCTGGGGGATCGGCAGGGGAGGGGGTGGACGATGGGGAAGGGAGGGACGCATCTGGATTTGGTGCAAGCAGGCAGAAGCTGAGCTTTGGGGGGCAAGGAGGTGAAAGCGGGGAGGCCAGTCTCAGGCTTGACGGGTTGCCAGAAGGAGTAAGGGAGGGCGAGCCAGGGACTGAGGAGGGAGAGGAGGGAGAGGAGGGAGAGGAGGGAGAGGAGGGAGAGGAGGGAGAGGAGGGAGAGGGTGTGAGGCATGAGGGTGGAGCGGCTGACACTCTTTCTGCTGACCCATCTACGGAGCAGGAGCTTCATGCGAGGCTGTCAGTCAATGGCACTGATGGCATTTGTGGCACAGGTGGTGCTGGGGAGTACTCAGGCATGCATAGTGAAAGCGCAGCAGGGATGCATGGATTGGATGGGATTACCGAGTGTGAGGAGGAGGGTAGAGGAGCGGACTCTGGGGGGGGAGATGAGAGGGATGGCTCTCAGAGTGAAGCCGGCTCAGCAACCTCCAGCAAGCACGGGGAGGGGAAGGGAGGCAGCCGGAAGTCGAGCCGAAAGCTGCACGAGAATGAGTGGGTGGAGCAGCCGGAGCCCGGTGTATACATCACTCTTTCCACACTGCCTGGTGGCGGCACCGAGTTGAGACGCGTCCGATTCAGGTGGGTGAGAACGTGCTCTTGAAGATTAAGGGAGGGGGTATGAATGTTTTATGTTGTGTTCTTTATTCCTAATTTGGGTTGTTTTTGTTTGTTGTAGCCGCAAGCGCTTCATCGAGCGACAAGCAGAGACGTGGTGGGTACAGAATAAGGCCCGGGTGATGGAGATGTACGCCATTAAGAGCACTCACAAGAGATCAGCTGGAGAGCCTAGCTCAGAAGTAGACACATAGAGTGATCTTGACATCTTGTACACTAGGCGGTAGTGGAAGCATAATTAACTTAAAAAAAAAAAGGGCGTTATGGCCAAGACTTCGTTGTGAAATACATGTGATATTTGCTGAATACAGTAAGGGCGTGTCCAGCGCGTTATTTTACTATTCACTTTGCATATCAGGTACAAAATTTTGATCTGGTAACACGAAATTTCGTGTCCATTCGGACACGCACGATTTTTGGCGAACACCCTCCAAACGTGCCCACAGACGTGGGCCACACGTTTCCGAACCGAATGAAAATCGTGCTCAAATTATGTACACGGCAGAAACGTCCAAATCATGGCTGGCGAAAGATAGAACGCTTAAATTCGCCAGGCTCGTAATGCGTGTTCGCCCTCCCGGGCGGGGCCTCTTTCCCGGGGCGAAAATCGGTTACCCTGCTGTTTTCGCGTCTCAGTCTGTTATGTGCGCGCTGCGCACCCGCTCATTTGTCGAGCCACGGGCGGGGCTCGTGTCCGCGCGTTTTGCTGTTGATACGGTGGGTGTACCTCAACACATTCACACTTGGCGAATCAATATTTCGGCGTGTTAAAAAAAAGTCAAAATTTCGTGTTGGGGCAAAATGAACGCGCTGGACACGCCCTAATTCAGTTTCGCGTTGCCGAGTCAACGCTGAAGTGAGCCTGGGGATTCGGTTTCCGTACTTCTGCTCGTCTCACCCAGCCACACGCCCGAGGGGCATGAGGTTGGTGCCGAGGAAAATCAGTTACGTGTTCTCGTGCAACTACTAGATCGAAGCAGTCTGCGTCAATGGCTGCTCAGTTGTGACAACTTCCAGTTGTGAATCCTCCTTGCAGCAGCTTCCGCTAGCCTCCCGACGACACGTCTTCATGGACCCATACGGATCAGTGAGTCTGGTTGCATCTATCCAGTATTGGCTAGAACGGCAATAAGCTAGGCGTTCTCTTGCTCGTCTTGAGGTTTCCTGCACGGTGCATTGCGGTGCCTGGCACCGAAATTGCTGAGCTCGTACATTTGGGCAGTTCCCTCGCATCCCTCCCATTTCGTCCTTTCGTCATACACGTGTAGTTCGTCTCGGCAGACATGCTGCTCTTAGCAATAAATGCGGTGTTCTTTTTCCCTTCTTCGTGCTTCTTGGTGTGTCTCAGGGAATTAGAAGGCTGAGACCGCACACACCTCCCCCCCAGCCACTCAACCTCCGCTCAGAGGAGGACGAGCTGAGAGAGAAGATTTCGCGTGTTGATAGCAAGATTTCTAGGCTCGAGGCAAAGAAAGAGCGTTGTTTAGGACGGCTGCAGGCCATTGAGGTTCGCAAGGAGCAGCATCAAGATGCAGAGGGACAATGACGACCAAGGGAAGAGACATGTGCTCATTTGGGAGGCAAGTCAGTGAAGGGAGAGCTGTATTTTGATAAGGAGGCAAGCTAGGGAAGGGAATGGGAATGAAAATACGTAGATACAATAACGAGAGAAATATGAGGGAGATCAATTTTGATGGTTGAGGTAGCTTTCCCATTGTGAACCTCGGGCCTGTGTGTATATTGCATGGAAAATTATATATTTGTAACACTCGCTTCTTGCATTTGCACTGTGGACACAGCAGAGTCGGGACGGGAGGGAACACGGGAGCTGGGGGAAGATGAGGGGTTCTGTCAAATCCGTCTGACCAGCCCAAATCAGGCTTTTTGTTCCTTGGGTGTCTGAGCGTAGGGCTGTAGTATCTCGGACTCCCTAGGTTTATCATCGCAGACCGCACTTGTTTGGGACTCTCCTTCACGTCTTCGACGTTGGCGTGTCTGCGCCGTAGCGCCTAGTCGGCGGAGCGCGCGTCGCCATGGATTCCTGGAGGAGTTCCGTGGCTGGCGGAGGGGCCTCGCAGTACTCTCAGGTGCTCACGAATGCTAGAATCGTATGCATCAGTAGGCTTGTGAATCTCCGCATTTCTTAGAGATGTTGGTTTCCTGATTTAGGGTTCGTTTGCGTGGATTGTGGATTTCGAGCCTGAGTCGTAGATCTACATCGGGCTTCACAGATTCCTTGATCTGAGCTGTCGATTTCGCTATTTTTTAGAGTGACCCGTTAAGCATGTCCTGGATTTTGATTCATTATCTTCTCGCTTCCTTTTCTTTCCGTGGGTTTGCTGCAGGGTTATGGATTACAGCAGCTGTCACAAGTAAGGATAGCCCTGCTCTTTTCAGTATTTCGTTAACTCTCGTATGCCATTTTTAATCCCGTTTGTTGGATCTACAATTCGCAGCTAAGAGCTGCTGTCAGCCTCAGGAATGTTCGTGCAACTATGGTTGGATTCCGATGTTTCAACTGCTTACGGCCTTATCCGTTCAATGTCTGTCTGATTGCATTGTGTAGCAGCAGCAGCAGCAGCAGCAGCAGCAGGTAGCGTCCGCTGCACCCGCTGCAGGAGCAGCAACGAACCAGTACTACACTTACCAGTCGCTGACTGGCTATGGCACGCCGCAGCAACAGCAGCAGCAGCAGCAGCAGCAAGCGCAGCAGGCGGCACAGCAGCAGCAGGTTTCTTACACCCAGGGAACCTCGGCTGCGTCGGTACGTGTTCGCGGATACGCAAACCGAAGGTTCCGTCAGATCGCTCGATTCGGCTGTAGACGAAGCCCCACGGCCAGTCGTTGCTGCTTAGAGCATGTTCACATGCATTTTCCTCAACGTTTTTAACCGTCTCGCCCTCTTCGTCACTCTCCATAACAACTTCGCTGCTCCCCCCCCTTCCTCCCGCGTTGTCCGCAGGCCAACCCGTATTCCGCCCTCGCCTCCTATGCCACCACGGTGGACGGAACATCCAAGTACTCAGCCGGGGCGGCGGCCGTCGCTGCCGCCTACGGCCTCGATATCTCCGGCGCTGCAGGGACCTCCGGCGCTACTACCGCTTCCGCGTATGGCGCGTACGGCGCGGGGGGGACCGCTGCGACCCCCGCGACGGCGGGGGGAGCGTACGTCTTTGACGCCAAGACGGGGAGCTACTACCAGGACACGTCTGGAGCGGTAAGAAGTAGTCTTCGCTGTACTCCTTTCACGCGAAGGCTTTCCTCTAGTGCGACATATCTGTTTTTTTATAACGAGAACCACCCCCCTGCGTGTCTGCTTCGCTTCGCGTGATTGGAGCAGTATCAGCAGCAGGGCGCGAGTGGAGCATCGCCCATCGGTCTGGCGGCAGCCACGGCGTCCATGCAGCAGGCCATGGCGACACAGCAGCAGGCCATGGTGACACAGCAGCAGGCCGCTGCAGCTCAGCAGCGGTGAGCCTCTGAGCCTCTAAGCCTCTGAGTCTCTGAGCGTCTGAGCTTCCCTCGCATGACTTTTGTTCTACCCTGTGTTCTACCCTGTGTTCTAACCTGTGTTCTACCCTGTGTACTACCCTGTGTTCTACCCTGTGTTCTACCCTGTGTTCTACCCTGTGTTCTACTCCGTAACTCGTTTCGAAACCTGCCGTAGGGACGACGCTTTTCTTCAGAATTTCCATCGTTCACCTCCTGTTTCTCTTCCCTGTGCCTCGTATCTTCCCCCCAGCGTGTACACCACTACGGACGGCTACGGTCAGCAGCTCCTGGTAGCCGCCCCTACTGCCGCGTCAGTCGCAGGCGGGCAGCGCCAGATCGTCTACACAACCGGCGTGCAGTACGACGCTGCTGCTGCGGCCGGCGGTGCCACGCCGGTTATGCTGACGGCCGCTCCTGGGTATGCTGCGATGGGGGGAGGGGTGGGCGGGATGGCTGCGGGAGCCGTTCCGCTGCAGCAGCATATGGCCGTGGCGATGCAGCAGCACATGCAGCAGCAGCAGCAGCAGCAGCAGCAGCAGCAGCAGCAGCAGCAGGCTCAAGTGCAGGCGCATGGTTTCTCCCAGCCGCATGTTGCACCCCAGGGCTACCAAGGTATTCTTCCTACTGCTCCCCCTCCGGCCCCTCACCATCCCACTCCCCCGCCCCGCTTTTTCCCGCCGTCGCTCCCTCCCTCTCTCACTCTCTTTCCCCACTCGCCCTCGTTGCGTCTGTCCTGTTATGCGTCCTGACATTTCCTGGATCTGCCTGCTCTCGTGGTGCTTCAGGCCGCGACTTCTCTGCTCCTAAGCCGTCCCCCGCTGCTGCCCGAGCCTCGGGCCCCGCTGCGGACTCCGGGTTCCAGGCCAGGGCTTGGCCCGGGGCTCGCGATGATTGGCCGAAACGGGATGGGGAGAGGGGGAAGGAGGAGGAGTGGCGGAGGGGCGGAGAGAGGGAGCGAGGGGCGTGGGGGAGGGATCGGGGGGCCGTTCAGGAGAGGGAGCGGGAGAGGGACAGGCCGAAGGATAGGGAGCGGGATAGGGAGAGAGAAAAGGAAAGGGAGCGCGAGAGGGAGAAGACAAGGGAGCGGGAGCGGGAGCGGGAGCGGGAGAGGGAGAGGGAGCGCGAGCGAGCTCGCGATAGGGAGCGGATCAGAGAGAGGGAGGAGAGGGAGAGGGCGCGTGAGAAGGAGAGGAAGGAGCGAGATGGGGATAAGGACAAGGAGAAGGAGAGGGAGGAGAGGAGGAAGGCAGGGGGCGGCAGGGAGGTCGCTGCTGGTGGAACGCCGAGGAGGGATGAGCGCGAGCATCACAGGCACAGGTGGGCAGTCCTAGAGGTACAATGGAATGCTTTGACATTACTTTCAAAGGTGCGGTGGCACCTGTCTACCCCGTTGTATGTTGTTTGCTGATCTGCATGGTTCTGAGGACGCCATGGGTCTGTGACTTGGGGTGCCATTGTAAGCTACGATGACATGCCGTTGACCTTCCTGTGACCCTCCCGCTCTTTCTGCAGGTCCCCGCCCCGTGACTACTATCGCCCCTACACCTGCAAGGTCAGTCGCTCTCATGCCTGAAACGCTCCGCACCTCTGCTCGTCTGCAAATCATCCATCCGTCTCTTAGCGTCAGACTAGAAGGAACTTCGAACGGCTGTTGCTGCTCGCCCATCTGATCGTCCCCTGTTCTCTTTGCCTCGCACATGCGTATTTTGAGTCGACTCAAAATACACCCTCTCTCTGCCTCGCACATGCGTATTTTGAGTCGACTCAAAATACACCTTCTCTCTGCCTCGCACATGCGTATTTTGAGTCGACTCAAAATACACCTTCTCTCTGCCTCGCACATGCGTATTTTGAGTCGACTCAAAATACACCTTCTCTCTGCCTCGCACATGCGTATTTTGAGTCGACTCAAAATACACCTTCTCTCTGCCTCGCATATGCGTATTTTGAGTCGATTCAAAATACACCTTCTCTCTGCCTCGCACATGCGTCTCTGTCCCCCTGTCGCAGATCGAGCCCTTCCCGTTCGCTGAGGTGGAGAGGGGCTATCTGAGCATCTGCAAGCGCTACCCGCGCCTCTACGTGCCTGCTGACTTCTGCAAGGTACGCCTGACTTCTGTAAGGTACGCCTGACTTCTGCAACGAACACCTGACTTCTGCAAGGTACGGCTCGCGTTTGCAAGGAGTGCTTGACGTTTGAAGCCAACACAATTGGATGCGTTCGTCTTCTGCTACCCTGTTAGCTTGCGCAAGCGTGCTAGGTTCTTTGTGCTGTGCTTTCTAAACTCTCTGCTCTGCTTTCTAAACCCTCTGCTCTGCCGATTGATTTTCCTGCATGTGCAGGCCCGAGCAGTGTGGCCCACTCATCCCACGCCGCTGCCGCTCTTCACTCCTGTCAGGTACGCGTCTGCCATCTGAGCTGTCACTGGTGTGTGCTTTCTGTGTGCTTGTTCTTTTGCGTTCTCTTCACCCTCCAGTCCGTTCGATGCTAGAGCCAGGAGTGTGAGGAGCTGCCGCACTTGCCTCTCCCAAACGATTCGAGCCAGTCAACCTCATTGCCCTATCAACGAGCGCCAGGCTGTTGGGCGAGAGCGGCTCTTGGTTCAGTTGCTCCTCTGCTTTGCCCTACAGCTGCTGTGACTTGGACCACCATCTGCTCTCTGAGGCACCTTAGGAACCCCCTCCATTTTGCTCTGCCGTAATGGCGACAGCAGAGCTCAGCTGGCGCTTATTCTCACCTGGTCATGTGGTTGCAATCGCCCCGTTTGCATGATGGCCTGTGTTTGCTGCCCACGGACCAGCTTCGAGCACGACACTGTTGAGGTAGACTCGGACGACCCGGCAATTGCTGCTGCAACCGCTGCTGGGGCCTCCAGCAACGCTGCAGCAACTGCTGCTGCTGCTGCGTCAACTTCTCCCAGTGATGTTGCAACCACAACCACAACCAAGGGAGACACAGCCGTGAAGGCTGAGCCAGAGGAGGGAGTCAAGGCCACAGAAGTGAAGGGTGAGGTTCAGGGCTTAGCAGAGGGCGGCACTCCCCCAGGGCACTCGGCTGCTCCTGCGACAGCGACAGATGGGGAGACGTCACCAGCGGACAAGTTTATGGCTGCTGCGAATGAGAGTTGCGGCTTTGAAACGTCGCCTGCACCCTCTGCCTCTGCACCTTTTGGGCTGTCGCTGCCCATGCTGTGGACTGTCAAGGTGAGCGCCCGCCCACTCCACTTCCCCGGTATGTGGTGCGGTTCTGTGCATGCGTGCGGCAGCAGCAAGAGGAGAGCAAAGATTCTGCAACCCCACACACACCCAGTCGTCCCAAGCCCGTTTCCGCCCCTATCCCTCCCCACCTCCACCCTCCACCCTCCACCCTCCACCCTCCACCCTCCACCCGCCTTCTCTCTCGATTGTCCCTCATCCGTTAGTCCATCTCGCTCCTAAGCCACGCCGCTTTCCCCTATCATCCCTGCAGGTGCTGCTGATGAGTGGCATCGATGCGCCGGCTCTCGCACAGATCACGTCTGACAAGCCCCCTTCCCCCCACGACCGCCCCGCGCACACCAACCATGCGCTCCGCTTCGTCTGCATGCGCCGCGACCGCGACCCCATCTCAGCCATTGGTGGGCGCTGGGACGCAGAAACGGACGGTGGAGATCCGAGCAGTGAGGACTCTGGGCTTGTGCGAGCTGCGATCAGGTGAGCAGGGGCCGTCTGATACAAGATTGGGTTGTTGCGATGATACCATGCCTATGCATGCCATGATCCGTCTCTTGGTACAGGTTGCCCCGACCCTCCCTTGCTTGTGAGGCGCTCAAGGCACGCCTATCTCACCTCTCACCTGCTTGTTTCCTTTGGCAGATTTGTGAAGGCAACAGTCCGCGTGGATCTCACAGCATGCAAGGACTGGGTGCGCCTCATCGATGTGAGTGCTTCCCCCTTACTGTGAGCGCCAATTTCTGCATGTGACTGCCTAAGAAGAATCTGTCACGATTTGCCCCTTTTTATTGGGGGGTGGTCGCCTTGATTTCCTTGCTCAATGTCAGAGCACCTCGCTCCATGTGTATGCAGCCGTTTTTTTTATGTGGTGCTTGCAAACCCTTCTAGCATTCTGCTGCCTCCTCTGGTTCCTCTCCTTTTTTTTCGTCTAGTCTCCTGCTTGGCCCCTCTTTCTCTTATCCCTCGCACATCTCGCACCTCATCCCCCCCTTGCCCTTCTCATCCCCCCCTTGCCCTTCTCATCCCCCCCTTGCCCTTCTCATCCCCCCCTTGCCCTTCTCATCCCCCCCTTGCCCTTCTCATCCCCCCCTTGCCCTTCTCATCCCCCCCTTGCCCTTCTCATCCCCCCCTTGCCCTTCTCATCTCCCCCTTGCCCTTCTCATCCCCCCCTTGCCCTTCTCATCCCCCCCTTGCCCTTCTCATCCCCCCTTGCCCTTCTCATCCCCCCCTTGCCCTTCTCATCCCCCCCTTGCCCTTCTCATCCCCCCCTTGCCCTTCTCATCCCCCCCTTGCCCTTCTCATCCCCCCCTTGCCCTTCTCATCCCCCCTTGCCCTTCTCATCCCCCCTTGCCCTTCTCATCCCCCCCTTGCCCTTCTCATCCCCCCCTTGCCCTTCTCATCCCCCCCTTGCCCTTCTCATCCCCCCCTTGCCCTTCTCATCCCCCCCTTGCCCTTCTCATCCCCCCCTTGCCCCGTTCACATCTCATCCCGCCCTCGCCCTTCTTCCATCGTATCCGTCCCTTGCCCCTCGTTCCTCCAACTCTTCCTCTTACCAGGTGATTTACATGAGAGCTGATGGCAACGGCAACCCGACCCATCTAGAGACCGTGGTCTACCTCTTGCCAAACCTGTCGGAGTGCCTTCCGAGCCTGGAGGATTGGAAGAAGGCTGTGAAAGAGCTGGAGGCGAAGAGGAAAGCGATTGAGGAGAAGGAGAGGAAGGAGAAAGAGAGGAAGGAGAAGGAGAGGAAGGAGCGCGAGAAGGAGAAGGAAAAGGAGAGAGAGAAGGAGAGAAAGGAGAAAGAGAAGGAAAAGGAGAAAGAAAATGACAAAGAAAAGGAGGAGAGTGGTAAGGAGAAGGAGGAGGAGAAAGAAAAGGAAGGCAGTAAGGAAAAAGAGAAGGACAAGCAGGAGAAGAAGAATGAGAAGAATGAAGACAAGGTGAAGGAAGGGGAGGAGGAGAAGGAAGGAGGCGCAGGGGCAGACAAGGATGCAGCTAAGGATGCGGCGAAGGAGGTCAAAGAGACCAAGGAAGGTGCAGAGGGTTCGGTTGAGGGGGAGAAAGCAGAGGGGAAGGAGGTGAAGGAGGGAGATGCGAAGGAAGGGGACGCCAAGGAAGGGGAGAAGGAGAAGGAAAACGAGGAGGAGAAGAAGGAGAAAGAGGAGAAGGAGAAGAAGGAGAAAGCAGAGAAGGAGAAGAAAGAGAAGGAGGAGAAGGAGAAGGCAAAGGCTAAGGAGATCACCAATTCGGGTTTCGTCCTGGTTTCTTCTCGCTCCAAGAGCGTCAAGGTATGTGCTCAATCCCTATCAGCCTCATATTCCCGTTCTTCCGTCTCCTTGCATTCCCTTCGGCCGCCCTTACACCATCATCCCACCCCCTTCCCCCCCCCCGTCCATCCCCACCTCCTGGAGTCCCTCTTTAAGATGACAACATATCCCGGCGATAAATCCTTCTCTAGTTCCCCGTACTTCTGAGCTCAAGAGCGTCTAAACCACGGACTTCCCCCTCAAACTGATTCTTCCCCCGTCTTGCCCACGTTGTGTGGCTGTAGGTGAAGACACTGACGATCTCTCTGGACGGGCTGCTGGACTACGATGAAGAGGACAGGGACGAGTCCTCCTTTGAGGTGCGTGCTTGCTTCTTGTGCGGTGTGGTATAGTGCAGTGTGGTGCAGTGCAGTATATTGCATTGCCAATGTGGTTTGTTGTGGTGATTTTCAGCCTTTTCCTTCTTGCCGGCGCTGGAGCTGGGGGTGGTGGCAGAGAGCACCAACGAGTGGTTGTCAATGTGTGGTGGCAGAACCTCCCCCTTCGTGCAGAAACCATCTGACAGTGTTGATGCATTCTTCCTTGTCATCCCGTCTTCTCAACGCTCCCCTCTTTCCCTGCATCACTGCAGCTGGGAGTGGTCGCAGAGAGCATCAGCGAGTATCTGCAGGAGCGAGCAGGGCGAACCATCTGCACCCACCTGCAGGTCAGCTGGGCTTGGGTCTGGAATGCCGCTGGTTGGCTGATTGTTTTGTTTTTCTCCAGGGGTTTGTGAGTGTGGCCTATGGGGGATGAGTGTGAAATGAATCTCAGCTTTCCTGACTGGGTTTTATCTCACACCCTTGTTTGTCGGAATTAATGGCAGACGTTTCTGTTGTGCTGTCCTCTGCCGTGCGCTCTTCTCATGTTCGTGCCTGCTTTCCGTGTGCCTTCCTGTTTCATTGTTGCAGTTCCTGTATCCCCTGTCTCTTGTAAAGAGGGCCAAGGAGAAGGAGCGGGAGAGGGAGCGTGAGAAGGAGAGGGAGAAGGAGCGGGAGAGGGAGAGGGAGAGCCGTAAGCGCAGGCTGGAGGGTGAAGCCGCGAAGGAGAAGGTGAAGGAGAGTGAGAAGGCAGATGAGAAGGAGGACAAGGCGGGAGGGAAGAGTGGGGAGGAGGGTGCAGCTAAGCGAGTAAAGGTGGAAAGCGGAGAGGGGGATGTTGAAATGGAGGTTGAGGGAGGGGATGGGACGGAGGGTGCAGGGAAGGAGGGGAAGAAAGAGGAGGAGGAGAAGAAGAAAGAGCTGGTTGAAATTGGTCCAGCCTATAAGGAAGAGAAGATGGAGGAAGAGGAGAAGAAGGCTGACGAGGGGACGGAAAAGAAAGAAACTGACGATGAGGCAGTGAAGACAGAGGAGCACACGGAAGACAAGGGAGGGAAGGAAGTGGAGCAAGTGAAGAAGGAAGAGGCGATGGATGTGGATGGTGCGGCGGTGGACAAGGGGACCAAGGCGGGTGATGCGGATGGGAAGGGAGGGGTCAAGGAGGAGGCAGAGGGGGATAAGAAGGAGGAGGGCGAGAAGAAGGCCAAGGAAGAGGCAAAGGAAGTGAAGGAGGAGGACTCGTGGCCCAAGTCATCGGTGGCCATCTCTGACCTCATCCTCGTAAGCCTTCTCCTTCTCTTGGTTTGCTCTGCTCCTTGGTATGTTCGTGCTTTAGTCCCTACGCCCTGCTGTTTGTCCTTGGTCCCTTGCCCTTTGTTAAGGGTAGCCCCCACTTTCCTGTCCCCTCTCCTGAGGATTTCTGTTGCCACTTGGCAAGCTGACTTGCTCCTTCACTCTCTCCATTCTATCTTTTCTTTCTCCCTCCTGCCTTCACTCTTTGCTTGCTCGCAGGCCTTCCGTCAGTTTGATCGCAACCACACCGACTATCTCAAGGTAAGCACATCAGGGGGGATGTGAGGGGGGTGGGGGGTGCTTGGGGGAAAGGGAGGAGAGAGGTGGTGGGAAAGGATGCCGGGATGCGAGGGGAAAGTAGGTGGGGATGAGGGATGATTACGATGGTGATGAGTGATGTCAGCGTTAAGGGCAGAAGCTGTCAGTCAGTCTGGCACTCATGCTGATTTACCACTCATGCTGATTTACCACTCATGCTGATTTACCACTCATGCTGATTTACCACTACTGCACTTCACCTCTTTCCCTGTTGCTGTTGACCATCTTGCCTTCCACCTATGCTCTCACCTCTCATTCCCATCGCGCCTCAATGTCAGTCGGAGGATCTGCGCCGTCTGCTGCACTGCCTGGGGATCAATCTCAGCCACAGGATGGTCAAGGTAGGCTACCTATGTGGTCTGGATGTGGTTGTGTCACCTCGCTTTGCCAGTCTTGCCGGATGCCGTCTTCTGTTTTCTTGTTGCATGTCCTGTGTTTCCTTGTCCCTTGCCTTTGCTTAGCCCGCTTTTGTCCTTCTGTCTCTCTCCCTTGTCTCCCCCCACCAGGAGCTGGCGCTGGTGGCGGTGGTGGAGAGTGGCAAGCACAGGGACGAGCGCGTCTACTACCGCGTCCTCGCGGCCCACTGCTGCTGATGCTGCTCCTCTCACACCCTTGCACAGCTGCCCGTTTTGTTCCCTTGACTACAGCAACTGCTGCTGCTTGTCCAGGGCACGGTTTGCTGCCGCAGCGGCCGCCGCCGTTGCTGCTAATTTGTCATGCGCCTCTTTGCACTGATTTATTCATGAGTCATTAAGTCACCAGTCCTAACCACTGGGATAAGAAGGGATGCCATCAGGAGGGTTAGGCTCCTTATAACCACCTTCCCTGGGGAAAACCTCCCCAGTACCCTCCCTAGAGATAGAGAGGATCGACAGGGTTTTCCCAGTGCCACGACACTTAGTGCTGCAGGTGTTTGTCATGTCTCACAGACCTCCTGTTGGTGTGTCAGAGAACCGGCCTTTTGTTTCAGTGCATTGGTGCACCGGATCAGACTCCATGTCGGATTTATGAAGCAGGTTGTCAGGAGGAAGCAGTAGCATGTGTAATTGTTTGATGCCCACCTTTTGAAGGTTCTCACTTGTCTGACTTTTTGTGCAACACTGTACCTCTCAAGAGACATGCTGGGGTTGCTTTTGAGATCCTCGGGGAAGGGTAACGGCCTCTATGCCTGGGGGGTTATGGGCACACATACCCGCTATTTAAAACCCCACGGCAGAATAGCTGAGGGGTTATCAAGCTGGGACCCCTCTTGATCCTCGCCCTTTTAGCTCAGTGGTTAGTGACGAAGTTCTGACTGTACCTTCTATTTCTGGCATCATCATCAGACATGTGAACAGCCTGTCTCAACCGCTACAATGCACATAAAGTGCACTTACTGTATCAATCCAACTCTGTATGCACAAAGCAGTTTTGCTGTAAACTGGCCTTGTGCGAAGGCAAGGGCATCTAAAGCTGGCGGACGGACCGACCCAGTGAAAACCAGACACGCCAGAAGGACCTCCTCATGGAACGTCACTGCTGGTGAGTGAGTTGCTCGGCTGCTGCTCCCCCCAGTTCTGGTGCTGCTCCTGCTTCTACTCGCGCTGCTGTGACTCTCTAACACGGTATGCACTTTTGCACCTGCCCTCACTGCCCCTCCTCAGTGCTTCTTGACTGCCCCAAAAATGGACCGCCGGAACAAACTGCCAAGAGCCGAGGAGCTCCCGCCCCCTCCCCCTGCTGCTGCTGCTTCACGCACCCGTGCCACTCCCCCTCCCCCTGCTCCTCCCCCACCCCCTGCCCCTGCTCCTCCCCCGGCCCCCGTTCCTCCCCCAGCAGCAGCAGGAGCAGCAGCGGCTTCAGGGACCAAGCAGAGGGCAGCGGGCGACACGCCCTTGATGGACGCCTCTAGTACAGAGACCACCTGGTGCAGTGCAGGTGGGTGCAAATGGGTACAGTGGGTGGTTGTATGAGCACAGATGCGTGGGTGCAGGTCGGCAGTTACAAATGGGTAGTCATATGCTATGCTCTGACTAACCACCTCACGCCCCTGGCCTTTCAAATGGGAATTCGGGCCCATCCATAGGGCCGTCCGCCCAGCAGCGAGCCATGGCGGTGGTGACGTGGTCTGAGGAGGTTCAAATGAACCCCTGGCCTCACAATCACCCCGAATCCCTTACCCGTGAGACCCAAGATGCCTCACCTTTGATCACCTGCAAACGTTTATTCACCTCGGAGAAGTCGGGCCGGTCAGCAGGGTCGTACGCCCAGCAGCGCGCCATGGTGGTGGCGATGCGAGGAGGCAGCGTGGGTGGGATGGGCGGCCGCAGGTTCCTGCGGGTGGGGGGATGATGGGTGGGGGGATGATGGGTGGGGGGATGATGGGTGGGGGGATCATAGGTGAGTGGGTCATGGGTGAGACAGAAATGGTGAGACAAAAGGTCGATTGATGAGAGGAGTGTAGAGAAGAATTCTAAATAACAGCAAGGCACGGGGAGAGCAGGGTGAAAAGCGCGCACCGCTGGAGCACACCGATGGCTGCCTGAAGCGGTGTGAGACCCGAGTAGGGAAGCTCGCCAGTCAACACCTCCCTGCAAAGGTGACGTGGGAGAGTGGGAGGTGAAGCAGTGCGACGAGCAATGCAGAAAGACAGTCTGATCCTATCCTGGTCCTCCAGTGCTCCATTGCTTCAGGGGCCATTCGTCCGCACATTCCCGCTTTCTGGCTGTGCCTTGTGCTCCGTGCCCGCTGATTCCCCTTCCTCCCCCCCTTCCCACCCGTCCCTCCCTCCTCCCGCTATTTGACTCGACTCAGGACTCACCACATGGTGATGGCGAAGGAGAAAATATCAGCCCGCTGGTCGTACCCCCGGTGCTCCATCACCTCAGGCGCCATCCACCGGTACGTGCCCGTCTCCGCTGTCATGTCCGCCTGCCCCGTGGGCTCCGGTCCGCCTCTCAGCTGCGCCCCGTGCTGCCGGGACGGCAGCATGCGGGCCACACCGAAGTCACACAGCTTCACAACCTGACGGGTGCAGGTGGGAGGATACGCCAGAGGAAACATCAGTCTCCGCTGTCATGTCCGCCTGCCCCGTGGGCTCCGCCTCGCCTCTTAGCTGCGCCCCTTGCTGCCTTGACGGAAGCATGCGAGCCACACCGAAGTCACACAGCTTCACATCCTGAGGAGTGTGGGAAAGAGAATGGCACACGGCAGAGAGAGCAGGTGGAGGGAGGATGGCACGCGGCAGAGAGAGCAGGTGGAGGGAGGATGGCACGCGGCAGAGAGAGCAGGTGGAGGGAGGATGGCACGCGGCAGAGAGAGCAGGTGGAGGGAGGATGGCACGCGGCAGAGAGAGCAGGTGGAGGGAGGATGGCACGCGGCAGAGAGAGCAGGTGGAGGGAGGATGGCACGCGGCAGAGAGAGCAGGTGGAGGGAGGATGACACACGGCAGAGAGAGCAGGTGGAGGGAGGATGGCACGTGGCAGAGAGAGCAGGTGGAGGGAGGATGGCACGCGGCAGAGAGAGCAGGTGGAGGGAGGATGGCACGCGGCAGAGAGAGCAGGTGGAGGGAGGATGGCACGCGGCAGAGAGAGCAGGTGGAGGGAGGATGGCACGCGGCAGAGAGAGCAGGTGGAGGGAGGATGACACACGGCAGAGAGAGCAGGTGGAGGGAGGATGGCACGTGGCAGAGAGAGCAGGTGGAGGGAGGAAGGATGGCACACGGCAGAGAGAGCAGGTGGAGGGAGGATGGCACGTGGCAGAGAAAGCAGGTGGAGGGAGGATGGCACGCGGCAGAGAGAGCAGGTGGAGGGAGGATGACATGCGGCAGAGAGAGCAGGTGGAGGGAGGATGGCACACGGCAGAGGAGAGCAGGTGGAGGGAGGATGGCACACGGCAGAGAGAGCAGGTGGAGGGAGGATGGCGAAGCTGGTGATGAAGCTGCGTGAATCAGCACCTGCTCTGACCGACTGGCGGGTGACCTTCAGGTCGGCTGAAGCAGCAAGACCGTCATTGCTCACATCATTTTCATCAATGAGCAGGTTAGCAGCCTTCAAGTCGCGATGCACCACACCCCGCCGGTGCAGGAAGTCGAGCCCTCTGGCCGCGTCTCGGAGGATCTTGAGGCGCACTGGGAGGGAGAGCGTGGCAGTGCGCCGGTCTAGGACGTCCCGCACGCTGATGGGGAGGAAGAAGAGATGGCGTGAGAGAGACAGCGATTGGAGTTAAGGCACTTGGAGGGCAATGAGTAGCAGCAGCTGCAACAAACTAAGCCCTTCACCTGCCTTTGGCCAAGAACTCTGTGGCTATGAAGAGGCATGGCCAGAGGGAGAGAGCACTGGGCACCTCACCTCGCTTGCATCCCATATCACCTGCCTTGAGCCTTCACCTCACCTCCCTTCAAGTATTTGATTGCCTCAAGCCTTTGACTCACCTCCCCTCAAGCCGTGGACTCACCTCGCTCACGCCGTGGACTCACCTGCCCTTGGCCATCAGCTCGGTGACTATGAATAGGCGTGGCCAGTGGGAGCAAGCTCCAATGAATTGCACCAAATTCTTATGGCGAACCATCCTGTAAGGGGGATAGCAGCAGATGGGAGAGAAAGAGGGCGGGGAAGATGCGGTGGTGGTGAGGCATGGCAGGACATGCAGAAAGCTGGAGGAGGAAGAAAACAAGGGGGGGAAAGAGAGGAGGGAAAGAGAGGAGGGATGCTCACATGGCAAAGGGAAGGAGAGAGAGCATGCTTACCTCATGATTCCGACCTCCTGCTTGAAGCACTGCAGCAGCTCCATCGCCGTTGCATTCCTCACCGTTCCACACACCGTCCCCCCCATGCCCCCTCCCTCCCCACCCCCACCGCCACAGGTACCGCCCCCCCCAGCTCCCCCCTCCCCCTCCGTTCTCCCTGCGTCTGGCGCCAGCTGCAGCACCTTCACGGCCACCTCCTGCCCGCGGTACGTCCCCCGGTGCAGCCGCCCCGACGCGCCCCCTCCTAGCTTCTCGCCCAAGACGAGCTGACGAGGAGGGGAGGGGAGGGGAGGGGAGGAAAGGGAAGAGCGGTGAGAGCGCGGATGCAGCCGCCTTGACGCCCCCCCGCCTGGATTCTCCACCAGAGAGAGCTGGGGGGGAGAGGGGGAGAGGCGGGGAGGAGGGAAGAGGTGGGGAGGTGACAGCAGCGGCCGTTTTGGGGGGGAGTAGGGGTAGAGGGCGACGAAAGGAAGGCGAGGAACCCCTGCGAGGAAGGCAGGTGCGGGAGAGACGGGATGGGCTGAGAACGGGTAGGGGGGAAGACGGTAGGAAGGCAGGGAGCACATAGAGGGGAGAAACCCACATTGCTGTGCCCACTCGCTTTAGTCACATGCCACTCACATCGCTGCAGCCACTCGCTATAGTCACAAACGACTCGCATTGCTGTGGTTCACAGCCCAGTCCTCATAAGCCAGCGCGTCCACCATGGCTTCCAGGTTGGTTTTGACGCGCCTCAAAACTAGGCTTCCAGGTTGCTCAGCTGCAGGTGCTGAGGCACCACGGCAGCACCACACGCGCTTTACTCGCACGATGTACGGCCAGCTAGACCCCCTACCACCCTCATGGCATGGCACCACTCACATCGCTGTAGTCCGCGGCCCAGTCCTCGTACGCCAGCGCCTCCACCACCGCCTTGAGGCTGCTCAGCTGCAGCTGCTCCCACTAGCACACGCGCTTTACTCACTCTACTCACACAGTGGCCACCTGGAGTCCCGCCCTCGTCTCACTCACATCGCTGTAGTCCACGGCCCAGTCCTCATACGCCAGCGCCTCCACCACCGCCTTCAGGTTGCTCAGCTGCAGCTGCTCCGCTGTGCGTGCCGCCCCTGCCACGTGCTCCTTCCACTTGGCGCGCAGCAGGTCCTGCACCGCCTCCTGCAGCTCCACCGTCTGCAATGTGGAAGGGTTACAGAGCGGTGGTGAGGGGTGGAGGGGAGCGGCTTTGAGATTGCTCCGTTGTGCGCGCCGCCACCGCCACGTGCTCCTTCCACTTGGCGCGCAGCAGCTCCTGCACCGTATCTTGAAGCTCGACCGTCTGTTAGAGGGAGGGGAGTGAGGGGCGCGGAGTGGGGAATGAGGGAGGCATACCCGAGGGAAGGAGCAGCGGAGAGAGGAGATATCTCTGCTGGCGTCACAACCTTTCACCAGCATGCATACGACATGCATTAAGCACCGCATCCCCATGAGCGCACATCAACACGCATCCATAAGGGCATGGCCATGCGGTCACACAGCCCACGCCCCATCACCCCCATCATGCATTCCTTGTGACTCACATCGTCGTGCAAGGGGTGGTCGCCATCGGGCGCCACCACGAACACCTGCAGCGCCACGCCGTCGCTACTGCTGAAGACGTGCGCCTCTCTGATGTTCCACTCCAGCCCCGCATTCCCCAGCGCGCTCGTGAAACACGTCAGCAGCCCCGGCCTATCAGGTGCCGCCACCGTCACCTCCCACCCGTACCCTCCCCTCTCTCTCCCCTCCCCTCCTTCCCCTCCTGCTGCGCCGTCCTCGCTCCCGTCTAAAGCGTCGCCGTGGAGACTCGAACCCGCGCTTCTCGTTTGGTCATACGACCCCAACGACCCTATGCCTCCCCCGAAACTTCCCGACTCCGCGCTTCTTCCCCCAATCTCGTCGAACGGTCCCGCCGCCTCCCCCCTATACTGCCCCTGCCGTCCATTTCCCCGCGCGCCCTCCCCCTCCGCCTCCCCAAGCGCGCATCCTACTCCCCGCTCCGCGCTCCTCCCCTCGAGGCTGGAGGCGGAACCCCTTGAACCGATTAAAAGCTGAGCCCCCGAATTTCGTCTGGGGATTGGCACGGGCGCCGGTACCCCCCTTTCGCCGCGCATCCCGCCCCCGCTGCTCGCGCTGACGCATGCAGCCAATGAAAATTGGCCACCTGCCCGCCCGCTTCCTGATAGCTGCCTCGTAACCGGGTTACCAGAGCCGCCGTTCGACCCTGGGTTTCCGCCTGCGGCTCTTGCAGCGGTTTTAGCGCCCTCCGTAGGGCTACAGACATAGAGCAGCGAGAGAGCGGCGGAGGAGCCAAAAATAGGCTTCGGAATGCGACGGGGCTGGCTACTCCGTCGCTGCTGCTTTAAATGATAGGGTACTTCTGATTTTGCCCCTTCTGACTCCGACTGCCCGGAACTGTCTCTATCGGCAGCGGCGGCAGCGGCGCGTGGTGTTGGCGTGCTGGGATTGGACGGGAGATGGGCGGCTCCCAGCCACACGCGTCGCACGCACGCCATTGGTCCGTGGTCGCGGTCCGATTGGTTCGTGTCGCGCACCTCGTTGACTAGTCGCATGTGCAGCATGACGTCATCATGGCGGTGCGGGTCGACGCTTAAAGCGTACCTGGCGGGTGTGCGGGCGGATGGGGGGGAAAACGCGGAGGCGGCAAGGTGGTAAGAGTGGAAAAGATCGGAGTCAAGGTTCAGCAGATGCGACCGCAAGCCTCATGGCGTCGTACCGCGAGGGGAGGTACAACCTAGGTGAAAGCCACAAATTAAGTTTGTACCGCGAGGGGAGCGACGCGAAGTGCCGCGCCAGCGCCTCGACAGCGAGCTTGCCGTAGCCGTCCCGCTCCACGCCCTCCTGCACGAGCCGCAGCACCGCGGCGCACAGCGACTGCTTTAAAGACCTCTGCCCGCAACCTCCCGTCAGGGCTACGACGCCCTGAGGCGCCGCGCCCGCCGCCGCCGCAGCCGGCGCCGGCAGCAGAGGGGGGGACGGAGAGAGTGAGAGTGCTATCAGCTGTGGCTCTTCCAGCTTCGGCTTTGGGCTGGGTAGCGCGAAGGAGAGGCTTGAAAGGTCGAGCGGCGAATCAGGTGGCGACGCGTGGATGTGAATCCTAGGAGCCGCCATGACCCCCATCCAGCACTGTAGCTCTGCAGCCTATGGCCGGCAAATCAGACCTAAGTAGAAAAAACCCCTCGTACTTTCGAATTGACCTATGGCCTGCAAAGCGTGAAAGACGCGGCGTCTCCACGTCGCTCTATGCGAGGTAACAGGGCCGCCGTGCTGACAGGAGGCAGGAGAACCCGCAGTAAGCTACCAGGCGGACTCTCTATAAATTGTCCTGAATTGCTATGCTGTTGCTGTTACTCGACTGCTTGGGGACGTCCTATTCCGCGGTCTGAATGACGAGCAACCAGCTCAGCTTGGCGCAGTGGGAATGGCTCAGCTTGGTTTGCCCTGCAGCTCCTGCTGGGCAGAGCTCTGGTCAGCAGGTCGACTCGAGGGCTGCTGGGGGGAGTGGGTGGGAGCAGGAGATAAACGGTCATGGCTTGGCCTGGAATAATGGGAGTGGGGAATTAGGAGAGGAGGGCACGAGGGGAACAAAGATGCCAATGGTTTGGGGGGGCTTTTGCAGTCACACTGGATCCTCCAGCTGGTTGGGTGAACAAAGTTGGTGTGGCAGCGAGATGGGCTTCGCGAAATGTTTCCAAATCTTGATGTTATTCGTGCGTGCGTCAAGCAGGTAACACCTTACCTCAGAAATTGGGTAACTTGACGAAACCAGCGGGAACCCACTGTGCTCAGCTCGATTTCCCTCGCCAAGGGGAAGAAATTCGTGGGCGAATCATCTCTCCGAAAAAATTGACCGTGCGGTTCGGCGCCGTCCAGCACCAATGGTGCAAATTTTTCGCCGATATTCGTCAAATTAGTGCAGTGTCAGCAGTAGCTTCGCTCGCAAAACCACCTTTGCTCAGAACGCGTAAGGAGCGCGAAAAGTGCGTGCCGCCCAGACATGATTCGGCAGAACGATTCCACGCCACGTCGGTTATGCCGGGAGCAAGAGGCTCAACGGAGCCGGCCAGCGCATTGCGCTTCACCAGGCACGTGTGAGAGGTGTCGCTGCGTGGCAATCGAGGTACGGAATGCGCGCTGGCGTGTCCCATCCCATTCCTGCCAGCTAGCACTAACACGACAGTCTTTGGACGTGCAGCATAGGGCCTAAAACAGCGGAATCTCAGGGCTGTACGCAAATGAAATCAGAGGAGTGAGAGTAAATATAAAAGCCGAATCCGAGGTTCGTCTTTCCCGACCCCTCTCGAATTTGTATCCGTCCCCTCCAGCTGCGAGCAAGTCCATCGACTTCACCAAAACAGGTACTTCCACACAGTTATATAATCGGGGCTTATGAACTGCAACGGGCAGAGACATTACCTATCGAAATGCGATGTCTCTTCTAAGGGCTTGTTTTTAGAAGGTTTCATCTCGAAAAGTGTCATCCGAGAATGCTGGAAACCCATCACATCTCGAAATTTCAACGGTTTCGATGGGTTTCCAACATGACACTTTTTTCGGGATGACACCCACTAGAAACACGTCCTAAATCAGACTGCAAGAACAAGGTTATTCTTGTTCATCAATCCACTTGCCCTTCGCTGCAGTCCAACACCCGCACTGGTGGGTTGTCCAGCAAGTAACAAACGTCTCAATTTATGCTACATAATAAAGCAAGGAAAGAATTGTCAATCACATTTGCTTTCCTTGATTCCCTTTAATGGCTACCCTTTCTGCCCTTGACAATCTGTTATTATCCTCCTGACTCGGACCACCTTACTGAATGAGACCCGTCGCTCACTTGCATTCTTCAGTCTCACTTGTCTTGTCTCCATGCCTTCTCCTTTCGCTTGTCCTGATGGTTGCATGCTACTCTGTAAAGCCCCAGAGGTGTCAGAGGCTTGGCTAGAGGCTTGAAGCGCCATATGAGCCGGTGAAGCTGGTGCCTGGCTGTGGCGGAGTGGCATGGGGCAAGCAGAGGGGCCATCACCATCATCCCAGGGAGATTGAACGCGGCAATAAGGTGTGGGAGGCCTTAGCAAGATATCATGCCCTTTCGTCAGCTTGCATTGCAGCAGCAACGGCTGCTGCTCCTGTTGCTGGGAAACCTGACCAGCAGAATTTGTGCTAGCACCTCGCACGTCGGTCGCAAGGTTGCCTGAGACGCAGCCTCCAATGCCCTCTGCTTCCTCTTTCCCCTCGTCCTCTTCGTCCAAGCAGTCAAAGAGAATGACCGGCCTCTTCACCCTCACAGTATGCCCTCCGGGGCAGCCAGCCTTCTGTTGCCCAGACGGGCTGATGGGACGGCGCTGCTTGGAGGGCGCACGATGGCTCGGAGGGGTGGCAGAGGATTCAGCCATGATCAGAGCACCCACACCACCGCTACTCGCTTTCTCCTTGCAATCCTCTCCAGCACCGCCCCCCACCGATAGTCTGCCATCCATACCACCTCGCCCCATTGCCTCGCTGGCACTTCTCCTGTGGCGGCTCAGCGCGTTGCCAGGAACACTGCAGGACGCGCTTTTGAGGGTGCATGACGAGAGACTTCGCCTCACTGGGGCTTCATGAAATGATTTTCGCGAGGTTCTGCGAAGGATGCGAGGGGAGGCTGGACGGTAACCAGCTCGAGGTGGCGAAACACCTGCGTCCTGTCCCACGCTCGTCGTTTGACCTTCACGAAACGGAAAAACAACCTTTGCACTTCGCACGCGCGGAACCGTCCGCTCCCCATCGACTCCGCCAGCCATCATGCCCGCGCTCGACCCCCCTGCCCCCGCGGCCAGAAGCCTCAATGCCGCGTCCGCCACTCGCGTCTCCCCCCCGCCCTCTCGCCCCCCAACCCGTGGGAGTGACCCACTCCCGTCGCGTCGGCCCGCTCCGCCTTCGCCCCTCTCCCGTCGGTTCGCCCCCTCGCTCGCAATTCGCGGGAGGACTCGAAGCGCGGGCGACGAGGACACGTGTCGTATGGGGCGCATTTGTCGGCGTACATTGCGATCTAGGGCGCCTCGTTCGGGGAGGGTCGATGTGCGTCGTTGGGCTATCTGAGTGCCGCACAAGCCATCCCCCCCCCTGGGCACGTCCGGTGTGCGCAGAAGCTGCGAGGAGTCGATTGGACAGGCGCCGAAATCGGCGCTGAGGCGAGCGGCAGCGCGCCACCTGTTGGCCTTCGCGCCGCTTCCAATGGCGCTACTCCCCCCGCATCTCTCGCTGAAGCTGCGAGTGATCCGCCACGGGTCCGACAAGTCGTCAAGCGGGGACGTTGCTCCGTCGGCAACGAGTGGATGGGCGATCGGAACGCCGTCAGAGCAGCTCGAGCCGTCAGAGCAGCTCTCACCTCTGACCGTCGATCTACTAGCGCCATGGCCGGATGGAATGACGCTGGCCACGTGCTCGTCCGTGACTGTGCATGGCTGCGCTATGGGGACGCCGATATCGGCAGAGTCGGAGCAGCTACTAGACTCGCAATGCGAAGCGGACTGACGGCCGCCACCGCCACTACAGCCACTGCGGTCACTGCCGCCACTGCCGTCACTGCCGTCACTGCCGCCACTGCCGCCACTGCCACCACTGCCGCCACTGCCGCCACTGCCGCCACTGACGCCACTGCTACTAAAATTCAGCTGCCCGACAATGGCCTGCTCGAGATCCGCCGCCGCTTCCGGCATGTCTAATCTCGGAGCCACGAGACGCATCCCCGCGATTGCCGCGGTGGCGGACGGGGCGTCGCCTCGTGCGGACGGGGAAGCGTCGATTCCCGTCGGGGAGGCGACTTGGAGCGAGCGGTCCGAGTCCGACGAGAGGCGCAAGAGGCTGAAGATGGACGTCGGCGATGGGCGCGGGGACTCTGAATCGAACGGTGATGCGCCGCTGCCGCTGGAGACGTCGGATTGCGGGGAGACGGGGAAGGTGATGGGCGCAGCGGTGGGAGCGACTGAGAGTGCTGCGGAGAGTTCGAGGGAGGGTTTGGTTGACGGTTCGGTCTTGTCGCTGGGGCTTTCTTTCTTGCCACGTGTGCCTTTCGTCAGTGCTCCTGTCAGCCTAACTTCCGCGTTAGCGACGCTCTCCTCCAAGCTTCCGACGTTTTCCAACTCTCCTTTCTCCTTTTCCACGTCGCCCCGCAACTCCTCCTCCTCCTCCTCCTCCTCCTCATCCGCCAGGTCCTTATGCGCAACGTAGAATCGGATTCCTCGCTTCGCCGCATCGTCGCGAGGAGAAAAGAGACCCCGGCGATTGATCGAACGGCCAAAGTCTGTGGGTTTAGCGGTCTGCCGTTTCCGCCGCGATCTCAGCCGTCGATCGAACAGCCGGGGCAGGCTGTAGCACGTGACCGCCGCGCAGCTCTTATTGGCGGATCTCCTGCCCGGTTCGTCATCGCAGCTGCTTTCGTCGCTGCTAGCGGGGCCGCCGTTATCGCGTAAGACGCACAATGCGCGTGGTTCTTTCATCGCAATGCGAGAAAATCTACACGCTTACCACTCGCAACCGTGACACTCCCCAAAGAATGAGATACTAATTATGTGCTGACGTGGCTGGTACGATAGTATCGTGGAGAGACTGACGAGTAGACGCTAGGGTTCGACTCGTCTATTCTATGGCCACAACATTCAGTGAACAGGGGCTCCGAGTCTCGTGACATCGTCACGTGAAAATCAAAGACCTGGAGAACCCAGCATTGCGACAAGTAGAAAAAAGCCTACCAGACCGATGGATCCGTGAGCAGTGAGCAGGTAGGGGGTGCTGCTAGCTTAGAGGGTAGGGGGTGCTGCTAGCTTAGAGGGTAGGGGGTGCTGCTAGCTTAGAGGGTAGGAGGTGCTCCTGCTGGGAGTGGTGGTTGTTGATGGCCATGTTAGTGGCGCAGTTGCGAGACTGGGGCGGCACCTAGCGGGTGCACCACAATTTACGTGACGGCGGGCGTTGAACGCCGCGCGGAATGCAGCCGACATGCGTTGAAGGACATTTGAGACATCCGAGCCGAAGCGCCACTCGAGTCGCGATGTTCGCTCCCTTTCACACGAAAAACGCGAGTCAACCCATCCATTCATGTGAGCTTTCGCGAAAGTACTTGATGCCTCTCGCTCAACTGGGTGGTGGTGCGAACACCAAGGTCGTTTCACTGGTTACCGAGAGATACATTCGCAGCGTTGACTGGTGGCCCTGTGGTGTGTTCGTTCAGAAGAGGAACAGTACCCGCTAGTAGCGCTAGGGACTTTTCACAACGAAACCAACAGCACTTCCACGCGTGAAAATTGAAGCGCATTAGAGGTATAATGGTGATGGCTTGGTGATGCCCACGAGGTGAAGGCCTATGGTATAAGCACTACTATTTCATAGACCAGAAGTGTCAATAAGTTGAGACTAGACCCTGCAGCACTTGGATGGGAGCTTCATCAAGCATCGCCGTTTGTTAGGGCAGGAGCAGCAGCAGTGGGGGCAAGTGGGTCGGGAGGGCTGTTGAAGATGTTGACGGGCTCGGGTCCGCCCTCGCGGATGGCGACATAGAAGCTGGCGTACATGTTCACGCGGTCCATGTACTGCTGTTGCGTGATGGAGCGAACTTGCACCACTGCAACAAGGAAAAAAACACACAATGCGATGGAGAATCGGCATATTTGCTGGTCAATAAAGTACTCGCCAGCAGAGAAACCACATTGACTGGAAGAAATAAGAAATATTGTACATGTGTATATAAGAACATAGTACTCACCCTTGAATCCGGCCTTCTCAATGTCCTTGGCGTACTCCGGGTTACGGGATGCACTTCGCCAGATGACACGGCCGCCAGGCTGATAATCAAGGGAGAGAACAGGTGGCCACAGGCACACAGGTGGGTCAAAGGTTGGTAGACGCTTGATGCAAGCATCTGGAGCTCTCGTTCAGATCCCTGCACCCAACTCCCTGCCTCTGCACCCAACTCCCTGCCTCTGCACCCAAATCAAGACCCTGATCCCTCAGCGGAACTTCCAGAGGCAAGTCGATGCCGTGGCCCACCTTGACTTGCTCCTTGAGCGCTAGGCAGAGTGTGTCGATGTCCTTCTGCCCCAGCCAGTCCACATGGTCCATCAGAATGACCTGGCACGGGGATGACAGGGAGAGCAAGGTGAGAATGATGAGAACCAGGAGGAGCATTGGGGCGCACACCAGAGAGCAGGTAGCCTGGAAAGGCAGACTGTGAGCACCATTAGAAAAGCTCAGTGCAGCTGGGCTGGAAGAATATGTGCATCTAGGGTTGCCCTGGCTACAGGTGCAGTGCGAGTACTGTGCGTGCATGCCAGAGACACAAATAACCCTTTCGGCGTCCATAGGGCCAACACGTATGGACGCGCACCTTGGTGTACATGCGCGCGCGCAGCTCCTGCACGAAGAAGGACGTGGAGATGTGCATGCACTCCCTGGCCGCCAGCTCCACCTGTGGGGGCAAGGCGGTGGCAATGGCAACGGCAACGGGCAAGGTGCAGCAAGAGAAGGCAAGAGGGATGGGGAGTGAGAGGTATGCATGTGCATGCATTCCCTCGCAGCCAGCTCTGTCTGTCAAGGACAAGGCAAGGGCAATTGGCAACGTGCAACAAGGCACGGGAGGAAAGAGGAAGGAAAGATGAGGGGTACGCGTGGACACGCATTTCCTGGCAGCCAGCTCAGACTGTGGGGGCAAAGGAACGAACATCACAGGTGAGCGGTCCAGGGACATGAAGAGAAACCTGGAAAAACTGCAAAAGGAGTGAAGTCCTGGCTCATGTCCTAGCACGCATTCTGACCTTGAGCTTGTTGAAGCAGGGCTCCTCCAGGAAGCGAGGGCAGCAGTTGCGGGAGAACTTGCCCGTCAGGCAGCAGCGGTAGAAGTAGTTGCTGTGGGGGGCAGGTGCAGGAGGGATTGGCACGTGGAGAAGACGGGGGGTTGAGGTAATGAGAAGGGGTCATTCGGATGGGGGCACGGACAGTGAGGATGATCACGATAGGGACAGGGGAGCGGGAAGAGAGTGTGATTGCAATGGAGAGGAAGCAGGGAGGAGATATGGGAGCAGGGGGCATGGTCGAGGTGAAGCACCTGAAATTGTAGTGCAATAGGAAGGGCCTGGACACACTAAAAACAACACTGACCTGACATGGAGGACAGGCCCTCCGTCTACCTGAACCGCCTCACCTCTTCCTTCATGTGCCTCACCTGTCCCCCAAGGACGTGGTTTCAGCCACCAAGTCGAGGCAGCACACGACATAGTGATAGACGTTGTCCCCCTTGCGGATGAGCTGCAGCTGACGCACATCACCACTGACTACAAGCCTCACCTCTTACTTGTAACCCTCACCTGTCCCTCAGCGATGTGGTCTCAGCCACCGAGTCAAGGCAGCGCGCGACGTAGCAGTACACGTTCAACTCCTTGCGGATGAGGCGCAGCTGCTGCATACCACTGCCTACAGGCCTCACCTCGTCCTTAATATAGCCTCACATCTTCCTTCTTATGCCCTCACCTGTCCCCCAGAGACGTGGTTTCAGCAACCGAGTCGAGGCAGCGCACGACGTAGCGGTACACATTGTCCTCCTTGCGGATGAGCCTCAGCTGGCCGCGGCTGATGCCGGCGCAGAACCAGAGCACCACGCGGTTGGTGAAGAAGAAGCCAAAGATGCGCGCGAAGATGCTCGCCCTCGTCAGCCACCGCCCCATGGTGTTGGTCCTGCATGTATGGTACGGGGCGGAGGGGAGAGGGGAGAGGGATGGGGTACCGGGGGGGGGAGGAGGTGCGGGGGTGGGGTGGTAAGGGGAGTTGTAGAAAGATAGTGAGATGTGGGACGGAATGCAAATAACAACAGTGGCAAAGGATGGCACAAAAAAGCAATCCGAGCGAGGTCTCACCAGAGCTGATACTGGCTCTCGACATTGGGTGCGTTGAGGAGGTCGTCGATCCAATGCTCCTGCACAACAACAGTGCCGGCAAACAGCATGGTGTTCTATGGTTCCGTTCGTAGAGAATGACACGTGAAAAGTTATGATGTATGGACCTCAAAGACCACATAGACCTTTCGTAGGTCGAACGGCAGTTGGCAGCAGCTGTTTGTGGTGGCACTCACCATGCGTGTCAACTTGGCGAGCACCCTCACAGCGCGGATGAGGCGTCCCATACCACCTGCGCACAGGAGCCGTACACATGCAGACAACCTTTCCTTGAGCCCGTGGGTCTTATGGCACAAATACTGCAGCAGGCAAGAGTTAATTTGAGGTTCGCATCTGAAAAATAGGAGCACGCACCGTGGAAGTAGATGCCATTCTTGAAGTAGTACTTCTTCCACCTCCTGCAAAAAGGGAGACACAGAGATCAAGGGAGAGGAAAATGCGTCAGCTGGCTGCCATAGCTCACAAGGGTGACTCCATTGACACACTGTGGTCAATCAACCCCCCCCCCCACAACTCATCCCCCCTTACTTTCTAACACTCAATTGTGGTTGTTGCCGACCTCACTTCTGACACTGGCAAGTGCATTACTCGTCTCATGGTTTTCAGTGAGACTGATCGCCCTCGCCCTGGTTGAGCAAACCATTCACAGCCCAGAGGTTGACAGACAGACTTAGCGCTCACCAGAAGTTGAGGGCGCCCTGGCTGAGGAACGGCGCGAGCTCCCTCTCGAGCAGCGTGGTGAACTGCGGGTGCACGCCCTCGCCGAACATCTGCCACACGTCGTCGAACGGCAGCCGGATCACGGCCGCGCGCTTCAGCTCCAGCAGGTAGCTCTGCGCGGGGTTGATGTCCACGCACACCACCTTGCCCGCGCCCTGAGTTGCGGGAGGACGGATGTGGAAGCTATTAACGGGGCAGAAATAAACGGCGGACGATTTTGGGGGGGTGTCTGGTCTTTGGAATAACAAAGCGCACACGAGCACGAGAGGGGTTTGCAAGGGTTTTGTCCTCCAACCACACTGATGTCCCGAACCAAACCTTTCCATTCAGATCCGTCTGAGAACCAATAACAAGCGAATGACTCCCCTCCACATTGTCTCCCCGACGCTTCCTTGCTGTCTTACCTGCAGCACCAGGTCGAGCGCATTGCATCCGCCCGAGGTGAGCGTGAGGATGGTGTCGCTGGGGATGATATCCAGCACCTTGTCGCCCTCGCGGGGGTCCACGCGGGGGTCCTCCCACGACAGCGAGTACAAGGCTAGGGGGAGGAACGCCAGGCGCGTCTTACCTTCATCCAACCCGCACCCAAGCTTACCTGGAGCACGAGATCGAGGGCGTTGCAGCCGCCGGACGTGAGCGTGAGGATGGTGTCGCTGGGGTTGATGTCCAGCACCTTGTCGTCCTCGCGGGGGTCCTCCCACGACAGCGAGTACAGGAAGGTGGGGGGAAAGCCCGGCGGGATCTTGGACTCGAACTCGTCCGACGCACGCGCGGGGAAGCGCTTCAGATTCACGACTGGCGGACGGGAGGGAGGGCGGCGGTACGAGTGCGAGGAGAGTTTAGGAAGCGCCAGCATGAAGAGGAGGAACGATTTGACTGAGGGTAAATGGCATGAAGGTGAAAATGCAGTAAAGATAGAAAAGTGCTGGCAGATAGCGCCGTGACGATGTTACTTACTCTTGCAGTCCTTTCGTCGACCAACCCAGATGAAGAAAGGAGCTTGGAAGTACGGCACGTACGGAATGCCGCCGCGCCCGTTGTACTCGTACACTGGATACGTGGAGAAGGGACGACGGGTGCAGGGAAACGGAGTCGAATGAACTCATAGTGGATTCAGGATGAGAGCATAACGTCAATGACGCCTCATTTGGAGGAAGGGGGATGGAAAGGCAGATTGTGTTGAGGTGCAGCCGAGTAGTGTTTTTGTGCTGGCGACGTGCACTCACGGGGCTCCAGGTGGTGCTCCAGGTACGTTCTGCGCTCAGGGGTGAGATCGATGCCGTCCAGGTCGAAGCACGCTCGCCAGAACCACCGCTCCTGGTAGTTCATCTGGCGGTTCGGCAGATCGAACTTGGCCGACGCGTAGAAATCGGTCACTCCGACAATGCCGTCCTCCTCGAGGTACGAGATAGCCGCGTCGACGGCATCCATGAAAGGCGGGATCACTGCACAATCAGAAAAACCCTTATACGCTCAATTTCGTGCAACAGGCCAGAATAAACGGAAACGACTCTGGCGAGGTTTAGCACAGATGCAGCAGAGGAGCGGCCTTACTGGTGAGGGAATAGGAGAATGTGACCAATGTGGCCTTCTCTGGAGGGGCGAACTTGCACGCGTCACCCTCCACAATCTCGACGTTGGTCCACCCGCGCTGCTTCACCTTCTCACGCGCCACCTTGCAGAGCGACGGGGTGATGTCGACGACGTAGATCTTAGCAAAAGACGACAGATCTATGTACTCAGACATCATCTCGACGTTCTCCGCGGTGCCGCCGCCCAGATCCACCCACACCATGTCGGTGGAGCCGCGCAGACGCGCAGCGCACGCTGCGAGCATGGGCTTTCGGCCATGGAGGAAATTCCGGCGAAAACGATCGTCTGTTCAGGAAGGCGCAGAACAGAAAGAAAAACGGCCGCCGGTGATCAGATCCGCAGTGCTGGTTGATGGTAAGCACTTGAAGAGTAAAGCCTGTTTCTATGTTAGTCTACACCCTACAAACCTGACTGGCTCAAAAAAGACTATGTATACCCCGCATTGTGATGAGACGCAACTTACACGCATGAGCTTGTGGTCCGTAGAAGGACTCCAGGCGGTCCTTGTGCGTGGAGCCCTTTATTTTACCGAACCACATCGTGGACAGGCATCGCATGTCCTGCACGAAGCCATACGCGGTCCGTAGACCCAGCACCATGATGACCTTGCTCCAATGTCAGCCGTAATTCCGTCTCTAACCCGACACGGGAAGTTGACACTCTTAGAGCTAGTCTATCAGGCTAGACTCTGTAGGGCACGAGCTAAGGCAGAACCACAGATCACCTGTGGAGTGCAGGACAGCAGAAAGGTAGTCAACAGGGGGTGGTTGAGATAGAAAAAGCTGCGATGAAATGCAGGTGGAGGGGCGCACGGCAAAGAAATCTAGGATTCCAGGCAGGGGCGCGCGGAAGTTTCAGGGGCTGGTTGTGTGGGCGGGCAAAATGGGGAAGATGTTGGTTGGGCGGAGCCGAGCTCCCAGTTTGTGTGGTCCTGCTGCAGTTTCAACGACAGCGCACGGTTCCGCGCAGTGTCATAACAAATGCCTCCGAGGAAAGATGGAAGGGAGATCCAAGATAGTGGGACCTTTCTCATTCTTGTGCTTCAATTTTTTAATTGATACAGTAACGCAAGAGTATTACTCAAGGAGTATAGCATCTAAGCGATTACGCAGCCACTATTATGATAAAAACATTACATTTAATCACGATCATTAGCTTTGATTAAACAATCCCTCACGACGGGTTAAATCAATTCGATAAGGGAAATTAGCTTGGTGTGAGATCAATGTGTCTACTTCGCCATCATTTAGTAGCGGGACCTGTCGGACGAAAATGCAGGGACAACTCTTACTTCCACCAGCTTGTTGAAGGTGACCCGACGCACTGGCCTTACCTGCTGCGGTCCCTGCCGGTCCTCAACCTCAAGGGGTAAGGATCTGCCCTGAACTCTCTGGGCCATACCAACAGCTACAGATGCCGAAGCTGCTGGATTGCTTGCGGGAGTTTTCCCATCATCACCTATCAGTGGAAGTGAAGAAGAACGCAGAATGGAACACACGGAAGCACTATCTTGGCAGTATTGTCGACCCCCGGGGTCGGAATGGTGCCGCCTAAATCCTCGAACCACTTCATTGGCCACAGAACTCTGGTCACTAGCAGCAAAACTTTGGTTAGTTAGTGGGTCAGGATATAGATCCCCAAGCGCATCTGAGTGCATCGGTCCGCCATAAAGCTGTGCTGCAGGGACTTGCTTTGTCTGGGCCTCCAAAACCTGGGGAGAATGGAAGATTGCGTTTCCACTTGACCCCTTGAAAGGGGCAGAAAAAGATGGTCTGGGCGCCTTAATAGCTCCACCTGCCGCGGCTGCCGCCTTGGATGAAGTCGGAACGCCACTGTTTCTGCTAGCCTCCCGCCATGCCCTGATTTGATCAGCCGGGGAGGGCGGCTGATTTGGCGGCTGTGCCGGTGAACAGCCGGAGGAGCTGGACGATCCTGCTGCGGAATGGGGGGCAAACGTGAACACCGCCTGGCGCCTAGCCACAGGCAGGAGCCTCCCACTGGCGCTCCGATCATTGCTGACGCTTTCTGGTTGGCGCTCCGCCGCTCGCGCAGCATCCATATCCAGGCTCCGCCTCATGCCATAGCGCCGTACAACCTTACTTCCACTGCTAGCAGTCGTAGTATTAGTAGCTCGGCCTCCGCGGGTAGTAGAGTCAGAAGGGCCGCCGCTGTTTGTGACGGTTCCATTGATTTCGTCAAGGGAGAGGCATTTGGTGAAGAGTTGCGGCGAAACCGCGCGGACGGGCCTGGATCGACGGTGCTGTGAGTACGTTAGCGACGCGGCTTCATCTCGAGACATCCTGCCTGAGCGCTGGCCGCTGCTCGCTGAGACCTCTAGGACAGACGACGAGTCCATGGCGAGATTGCAACTGAGGATTGGGCTTGAAAGCATTGCTAGCCATACTAATACGACGAACGTATCGCTTAGGTGAGTGCTGCTGCAGAGGCGGCCTCCAGCAGCGAGGAAGGTATTTCGGTTGGGTAGTGGCGAGGCGAGGCGATGCTCTGGGTTGACATTGTGCATGCGTGAAGGGAAGGTCGACAGGAATGAAGCAGGATTTTTGTCCTCCTCCCCTTACAGCACGTTACCCACACCTCGTAGTCACCAACAGAGGGGAGACAACTCCCTTCATAGATTTTCGTTCTTCTCCCCTCACAGCACGCTACCTACCTCGTTGTCACAAACAGAGGGGAGACAAATCACTTAGTGGATTTTCGTTATTCGACCCTCACTGCCCCGTGCACGTTTCTCACGCCCTTTTCGTCGTCCATACATCTCTAAGTGGCAGTGGAAAGTGTACTGTGCAAACAAACCCTAATTATGAAATGTCGACTCTTTATAGACCCTGAAAATCAGCGGCAAAATCTCAAAGAGCCCGATGTTTTAAGAGTGACTAAAAACCAAAAGTAGGCCCTGGAATGAAGACAGGACGGGCTAGGCGTGCCCCAGCAAGGTGCTGCAGAAATTCGTAGACCTACGAGCGCCACTTGACACGCAGGGGGGGCTGAGACGGGCGAATTTTTGTCGCACCCTGGCGAACCGGCGGGATTGAGGACAAATCGCGACGAACAATGCCCCACGAACTTTGTTCGTTGTCGCGTTGCGAAGCTGCAAACGCGTTTTCGCTCCGCTGACTGGAGGCTCGCGGAATGTGGGGGCGAAAACCGACGACTGAATTTTGGTCAACCCACTTGCAGAAGCGTGGGAGCACAAGATGTGGCATGGGAGGTTGCAAGGACGAGGGTTGAGGGGCGAAAGATATATTGTTTCATGTGTACAGATGAAACAATATATCTTCCTTGTTATGAGTGGGAATGGAATGACCGATGGAGTAATGGGAATACAGCCTAAAATACTACCGAATGAGCAAGTGACGAGCGAACTGAGGTACATCTACGGTAATTTCACACCTAAAATTGGGGTGGCAGCTGAAATTTTGTTGCCACTCTGACCATTTCTAAGTGCGTAGACTAGTCCCCTGTTGCTACGGCCTAAGCGTGGCAGACTTCGCATGGCAGGTGTGGGAGAACGAAAATGAGCTGCCAAACTTTGAGTTGTGGGACTCCGCCGGATTTCCTGACGCGAGAATCGCTACATCGAGCAGTAAGCATTTACGTATAGAAATCCAGGCTAAATCTGTTTTCCGAGGATATTCGAATCCAGCCACTCAGGAGATCAGTTCGGTGGGAGAACCCTTTCGGAGGCACCCACTGTGAAAATACTAGGTGTTCAATTACTGCGGGCTAAGTGTATAGGGCACGAACGTGCTAGGACGAGCTAGGGCGAGAACCTCGGTCGGGACGCGACTGTGTAGGCCGAACCGTCGAGCTCGAGCTCTTCGAGCGTACGCTTGTAGCTCAGCGCAGTAAGGTGTGGTAACCCCTTACAGTTATCCATATTTGGGAATAAGCTTGAGTGTAAAACAATTCGCATATTGTATCACAACAAACATGCAGAACAAGCATGAGTCTTAATTTGCATGACTACGATATATAAGAGCCAATGCACGCCCTAGTCCCAAAAAGACCACACTTGAGTGGTGATGGGATAACATAAGGCAGATTTTTAGAGAAGTCATTTGAAGGGTTTCTTTTGGATCCTGGGCCCTCTATAAGAGACCTTGAAGGGACAGGAGAGGCGGTTGAGGAGCAGCCAGCTTGTTCCATGAGCTCTTGCATTGGTTTCTTGGACTCTGTGGGACTGGGCTCAGGTGCGAGGGCCTTCTTGAAATGAGGAACCATATATCCTGTCAGCAGACCATTCGGATCATTAGTCGGCTGGGCCGAGAGCATGGCTGGACAACTCTCAGTGCCGGACTGCCACCTTCGAGGCATGCTCTCTGCCCCTTCCTGATCACCATCCAGCATTGTTTCACCTGCAGATGCATTATCTGTCATGCAGTGGCCCTGGTCACCATCCTGCCAACTGCTTCCAGCAAAATATGCACTGTTCCTAACGGAAGAGCCACTTTCCATCACCCCGATGTAGCGCACGTGAACCATCCTGTTGAACGACACGTGGCGAACGCCTGGGATGCCGCAGCTTCCACGAGATCTAGGGCTGCCAACGACACAGCTGACGAGGCCTTTCTCCCCGTCAAGCGAGGATCTCCGGCGCAAAGAGGTCGCCTCGAAGAAGCTGTCTCGATTGCCGGATGGGCGTGCTTGGAGGCTGCACGTGCGGCGATGGCAACCAGTGTAGTCAGGGAAGCACATACACTGTGGGCCTTGCGTGCTTCGTGTCGCCGAATCCGGTCCCCCATGACCGTTTGAAAGAGGCTTCTGTTGACACGAGGTCATGCTGTCCCAATCGGGCTGTGATGCTCGGGGAACGGTGGTGCGGCGTTGCAGCGAATTGGTGGGAGATGTTTTATCGCGGACGGCAACAGGGCGTTCCGAATCGGACGACCACCTCTTAGCCTCTCTCCTTCCCCTGTTCGCCGCCCAGAACCACGGCGACTCGAAATCGTTGGAAGGCAGAGACTCTCGCGCCGGGCTTTCATCTTCGGCCCACTCGCGATCCATTACCGCGGACGCGACGGCGAGATGAGACACCAGCGCCGCGTTCGGGCTGCGCACGACGGTAGGAGTCGCTGGACGCCATTCGCGCGAGAATAGCCGAGCGCCGTCACAGGCTTGGGCCTTTGAAGCGCTGCCGCCTCTGCCGCCGCTCCCACCGGTGTCGGCGGCGGGGGTGTCGGAGGGCAGAGGGACGGAGGTGGACGGGGAGAGGGGTGGCGTGGACTCAGGAACGTCGAGATGGAGGCTCTCGAAATCAGGAGGGCGGCGGAACGTTAAAGGGGGGGAGGATGACGGGGGGGCGAGATCCTCCCCGAAGGCACTTGAAGCTTTCATGGTCTACCAAATAATGAGCCAGCTGAGGATCTGGCGGCGTGCTGTTGCTGTGGGAAGGAAGGCCAGCTGCGGATTTTGCAACATTGAGGGTTTTTCTGAGACTTGTTCGAAGCACACTGGCAAGCGACCTGTCCTTGAAGCTCTCTAGTAGCGGGAGCACGTCTCTCTTCCTCCAAACGACATCGCGAGTGGCCACTCATGGTACACTACACTGTAGCAGCGGCAGGCGCCCGTGCGGTGAGGTAAGCCGCCAGTCTGGCTTCAAAGAGGTAGGGGCGGGCAGCTTGGTTGGCGCGACGAAGCTGCCACGCCGCAACTGCGCATGGGCAGCATTTTTCTCTTGCAGCTCGGCACGCTAGGCAATCACGTGGGATGGGCATTGAATTTGTGCTGCTTTCTCGTGCTTCGGGAGGATTCAACAGGATAGAGTTGAGCTTGTGGGTGAGTGTGGGTGGGGGGGGAGGGGGGGAAAGGAGATCTGACCCTCAAGCCCATTGAGTAACCTCGTTCTAATCGGTTTGTATGTTATCTTAATGTTATAGTACGATATCATGCGGTTAGTGATCAACCCTTCTTCAGCACTTACCTTGTCACTGACTGCCTGCCCGTGTGGTCCCATCCCCTCTACGGTTGGTGGCGACAAGGTCATCAATTAGAAGAGACAAGGACAAACTTTGTCGTGACTGCCCCGCCCCACAAGAAAAGCGAAGACTATGCTTGTATGGAATATGGAACTATTGCTTATATGCAGCTCAAAACAACCTCATCTACAAAACTATAACTCGTTGGTTCACAGCGAGAGCACCCTCCCTGGAAGATTTGCATGAAGAATAATCACATTGATGAATTACATGATGTTGGGCTGAGAAAAAGCCCTTAGGATCTTTTGCAGAGACTAAGTCCCAGCTTGTAGAGACTTGAGACTTGGAGTAGTGCAGCGGAAGTTGAGGCAGTTGAATCCTTGTACTAGTATGTGAGAACAAGTGATTGATTAAAGAAACAAGCATACAGCAATATATAGAAGATAAGGAAGCAGTTGTAGAATACAGTTACAGGAACGGTTTATCGAGTCGCACAGCGACTCGATTGCCGCTTCGGTTACCATCCGTGATGTTGTAACGGTCAGTCGCAACCTCCAGTTGCGACCTTTCGAGTCCTTTCGCATTCTTTGTCCGCCCCCTCGTGTAACCTCCGTTGACTCGCGTGCTCCCCTGTAATCTTCCTCGAGTACAGTGTTACACTTCAGAAACGCTTAAGTCCTTGAGATATTTCCAACACTCCCCTTCGTTTCTGGAGTGCTGGAGTGTTCAGATCCGGTGACGTTTGTTTGCCCGGTTAGGAGCATGCAGTAGTCGAATTTTGCTTTCGCCAATTTCTTCGTCAGATAATCTGCGGCCATTTCTGTCGTCGGGCAGTAACTGAGTTGAAGTCTCCCCTTCGCGATTTCATCCTTGACGAAGAAGTACCGCAGGGCGATGTGCTTGGTTCGGTTGGCGAAGCCGTCCTTGTTCGCGATTTTTATCGCAGATTGGTTGTCGCAGAGGAGTGAGAAGGTGGGCAGGGTCGCGATCTTCGCTTCTTCGAGTAACTCTCGTAGGTAGAGTCCTTCCTTGGTCGCAGTACAAAGGGCGATATACTCTGCTTCAGCCGAGGATAGTGCGATTAACTCCTGCTTGCTCGACTGCCAGGAGATAGTTCCGATAGGTTCTAGTCGGTAGATGTAGCCCGTCCTAGACCGTCGATTTTCGCTGTCTCCCGCGTGGTCGGCGTCGACGTATCCGAGTAGTCGTACGGACGGTGTTGTTGCCTTGTTGTAGGTGAGCCCGATCGTCGGCGTGGAGACGAAGTAGAGTAGCGCTCGATTGAGTTCTTCGAGATCTTCCTGTTGCGGCTGCTTCAGATGTGTCGCCAGCTGGCTCGCACTATAGGATAGGTCGGGTCGGCAGGTTACTGTTGCGAATAGTAGACAGCCGAGCTTCTGTTGATACTCCTGGATTTGTTTCGCGGGGAGTTTTGTGGAGGCGCTACTGTTGTTCCCGTAGCGGTAGGGAGTTGGGACCGCAGTCGGTGTTAGACCGAATTTCTTCGCGACGGTGCTTGAGTACTTTCCAGCGTGTAGGTAGAACGCCGTGTCGTCTTCGACGACGTTCAGTCCTAGGTACTGCGTCACCTCGTCGGACACCGTGAGCGTCAGGTCCCTTTTCAGCTCCCCTTCGAACCAGGTGACGATGTCGGTGGTAGAACCGATGTAGAGCAGGTCGTCGACGTAGACGATGAGCAGAATGTAATCTCTTCCCTTCTGTAGTCGGTACATGCCTTGGTCATGTGGTAGCTGTAGGAATCCGATTTTTACGAGCCGGCCGTGAAGGTGCTGCTGCCAGAGCCGTGGGGCTTGCTTGATCCCGTAAAGGGATTTTTCCAGCTGGCATACTTTTGAAGGGTCGTCGATGAATCCGTGGGGTTGTTCGACGAAGATTTCGGCGTCCACAGGTGCGTACAAGAAGGCGTTTGCAACGTCGATTTGCCGTAGTGGTAGTTTCTTCGTGGCCGCGATGGCGAGTAGGATGCGCAGAGAGGTGTGACGGGAGACTGGAGCGAAGGTTTCTGTGTAGTCGGTTCCGTATCGTTGATCGAAGCCTCGTACGACCCATCGAGCTTTGAATCGTTCGATGGAGCCGTCTGAGTTGGTCTTGATGCGGTACACCCATTTCCCCGAGAGAATGTTCTTCCCGTTGATGCTCGTTGCAGGTACCAGTTTCCATGTTTCTCGGTCTTGCAGAGCTTTTAACTCTTTTTCCATCGCTTCCTTCCATTGTGCCTTATGTTCCCCCCCCAGAGCCTGCGACAGGGTCGACGGCTCGCGCGGAGAAGGCGGCGGCGGGTGCTGGACGGAGACCCATAGTCCTAGGATCTGCAGTCCCGTGGCTGTGTGTCGAGGGGAGTTTTCATTCTCGGGATAAGCTGCTTCATCACCGTCTTCAGGATCGGGTAAGAAGTTTGGCCCGATGCGTTCGGAAATATTCGAGTCGACGGGGTGTGGTGTAGCGTAGCCTTGGTCAGCGAAGTGGTAAAAGGTGTCGAGGTTGTTGCTATCGAGAGGATTATCTTCATCGAGTGGAACAGGTACGGAGCAGTAGGGGAGTGGTCCGGCAGCCTCCGAGGCTCCAGGGACGTCTTCTTCTGCTGCGTCAGCCTCGGCAGCATGGTCAGCGAAGGAGCGAAGGCCCGCGAAGCCGTCGGTGGGGTCGTCTGAGTTGGCAATGTTGTCCAGGTAATGCTGCAGCGTCAGTCGCTCGTAGAAGATAACATCACGTGATGCCACCGTATTTTTGTCGTGTATGTCGAGAATCTTCCACGCGTGAAAATGTTTGGCGATGCCGAGGTGTAGTCCCCACCGAGCTCGTTGAGTGAAGCGTCCTGCTCGAGCTGTGTGGGGTCTGTATTGTACCATGCAGCCGAAAACTCGAAGTAATTTTGTGCTGCCCCTTTTTCCCGTCCACAGCAGGTGCGGTGATGCGTTGTTGGGGAGCGATGACGAGGACAACAGGTTGTGCAGGTGGACTGCATGTGTCATCGCGTCTGGCCACAGTGTATTGGGCAGCCTCATCCCCAGAAGCAGTTTTCGCATCGTCGTCTGCAAGGTCCGGTTCATGCGTTCTGCTACCCCCTGCTGCTGGTGAGCATAGGGCAGAGACACCAGGCGTCGGATTCCCCTTTCCGCGAGATAGGTCCTGAAGCGTTGTGACTGGTATTCCAGTGCACCGTCTGACTGGAAACTCTTGAGTTTGGTTCCTGACTCTCGTTCGGCGATTGGAAGCCATGTGGTGAAGGCCTCGAAGGCTTGATCGCGCGTTTTGAGATTGAAGTGCCAGACGTATCTGGTTGCGGCGTCGATGAACGTGATGACGTAGTTGAAGTCGGCTTCGGTGTCGTCTCGAGGCATGTTTAGAATATCGCTGTAGACCTTTTCCATCGGAGCGTAAGTGGGTGCGCTTGGATTGTGATGGGCTGGGAAAGGTTGATGAGGAAGATCTGCTTCGGGGCACGTGAAGCATCGTGCTCTTGGTCGGCGAAGTTCTTGGCCGCTCGTCGTTAGAAGGGCGTTACGTTCTAACACCTCTGCTTGTATTGTTTGTAGTATCGTGCTGTTTGCAGGATGTCCGAGACGTTGGTGCCAGATGTCGTCGGGAGCGCGGTGACCGGGCGAGCGGTGGTAGATGTCGGCGTTGGAGAAGAACGCGACGACCGAGGCGGGACTTCGACAAGCTTCTCGTGTGGCGGGCATAAGTTGGTCTGCTTCCGTTGGCGGTCCTCGTGTTGATGGTGGTGGTACTCGGCTGGGTCCTGCTGCCGATACTGCAGGTGATGGTTTTGTTGGGACGCTTGCTGGTACTTGTCTTTCTTGTCTGATAACTGCTAATGCCCGTGTTCTCTCTGCTGCAGGTATGGTGTTGGAGTGCCAGAAGCCGTCACTGTCGAAGTCGGGATCAAGATCTGGTGGGTGAGTCCAGGCGGCGAACGATACGATGCCATCGCTGTCGGCAGTTCCGCGGTCGGGGACGAAGTCCAACACGAAGACACCGGACTTCAGGAGGGCACGACCGATGAAGAGACCGCCCTTCCCGTGGTAAAGTCGGAACTCGTTGGAGAAGGAGTCGCACTCCAGGTGAATCCCCTTAGCCATTAGTTGGCTTACGCTTAGTAGGTTGTATCCCAGATTGTCGACGATGAGGACTTTGTTGAGCTGAAGAATAACGTTTGTCTCCATTGATTGTAACTGAACCACGCCTTGCCTGTTTGTTTTCAGGTTTTCGTTGTTGGCGACGGTGATGACGACGTCGCGGTTGAGGCGTCGCTCGTGTTGTACGAAGCGTCCGGAGGAGCACATGTGCTGACCGCAGCAACTGTCCAAGAACCAGGTGTTCCGCCCGGTGGGTTCGGCGTTAGCGACTGCAGCGTATGTCGGGTTGACCTGAAGTCCTTGCGAGCGCGGCGGCGGGAATTCCTCTTCGTCTGGTGCGTAAGTGGGTGGTGAAGCGGGTGCGCAGTTGTCGATGTGTACCATGCAGTTGATGATGTTGGGTGTTTGTTGTGCAGATGTTGAAGAACGCCTTGGAGGACTT